GAATGTTTTGGCACGTTTTATTGTTCCATTTCGTAACAGGAACACAGCAGCAAAAATAGGTATTCTTCTCTTGCCAGCTTGTCATTATAGAAAACATTTGTATTGTAAATGACATGCTCTTCTGGTATTACAAGTAAAACTGTAGCCTTTTGAAAATTCACACAGTTTCTGCTACTTATTCATATCATCTCAAGCAGCCTTCTGTAGTTTCCTTCCTTTAGAGATAATAGTAATCAATATCTAAATCTTGTCATTGTATCACAGTTCATGACCAAGTTTATTGAGGTTAACTGATGCATAGCAGTTAACTCTGCAGTTTTCATTTTGTTGTACACTGACATGCGTTTATGCATGAAATACACAATGAAAGGGTGATTTTGGTGATCTTCTCTGTTGGGGTAGTTACTTCTCATTTTGGGAGAATGTGGTGAGTTGTGGAGTAATATAAATAAAAGACAACTTCTAAGAATTACGTTTTAAAACTATGATCTGATGTTTGTAGTAAAATCATACATTGTGTTGCAAAAAGTTATAAAACCAAGAAAATAAAATCTGTTCAGTCCAAAAACATGTTCTCTTTGATAGCATGGATATAACAGTATTTCTTTTCTTCCTATGTCTACCTTATTTTTAAAGTAAAGAAGAAAAGGCATCATGTGACTTGAGTAGTTCGCCAACACACACATTGAACAGTGAACAGGCCACCTCTGCTCCAGTCTGAACTAAGTCAGATCCAGAGAGAGATCCAGAGTTTGAAATGTGAGCCCCTCTGCGCTCTCTCCCTCTCTCCCACTGTGTCTGTGATGGCCGCGGGGTGGAAGCGTGATTATGTTATTAAAAGGAGGATGAGGTGGGGGCAGGGCGAGGGCTTAACTGTGGCAGAAAGGTGGAAAATGAGCTCGATGTGGAGGAATGAGAGAGAGGCTGTGGAGACGAAAGCGGAACGTGACATTGAAAATCAAAAATGCAGCAAACTCAAATGACGCTGGCGAAAGCCCTCATGACTATAGACAGGACCGTCAGGGGTCATTGTGAGGTAGAGGAGGAGAGCACACAGGACGACTGCACTGAGAGCAGGGGTGAGATGGGCCGCTAATGTGAACCAGCTGTAGAAACCTGACACCTCCTGAGTGGGCTCGGGACGAGAGGTGGAGGAGTGAGAAAAGGAGGGAAAGAAGGCCTTCAGGAAACAGAGCAAAAGAAGGATGAAGTGAAAAAAAAACACTTGTCGAGTAAAACAAAGAGTCCCATAGATGATTTTGGCTGCTAAAAGCCTCTCTCTGCAAGTTGTTCTTGAAAGTGGAGATTAAATGTGTTCCTGCTACAGAAGTAGGCTAGTTTGTCTGTGTTTCTTCTCTGTTCTGAGAGACACCACTCCCTCACAATAATATGAATCATGCTCTGCCTTGTCTGCTGGCCCCAGGCTGTGTCACTGCAGCCTAAAGGCAAATAATGAAGTCTTTATCTGGCACCAAAACCTGAAGGACGGCCTGCTATCACTTCCTGACGCCATGGTATTTGGGTCTGTCAACAGAGGCTTGAGAGGGATTGATTTTTAAAAGGCTTTGCCATACCTCACTGTTCATTAAGGGACGTGTCTCCGTACAAAAACAGTGCAACAGTTGTAAGCTTAAGTAAAAAAAAAAAAATGCTGTTAACTATTATTGCTGTGCAAATGTGTTATTGTAGAGGGAAAAAAATTTGTGGATCCAGACATTCAGATATTTTTTAAGATTCATGTTTTAAGATAGGGGGGTAGCCTACTTATCAGTTTAGATATACTATACAGTAATAAACATACTTCATCAAAGTTTTTTTTAATTTGATAATTTGATAATAATTTAAGATTATTACTCAATGGGAAGAGGATTAATCTTACAACTGGAAGTTCTTCCAGTCGTTGACCAGGTCTGGCCACTATTGCACAATAAGTGTCTAAGAAATCTATGGTCTTCAATGTCATCTAGTTCAGTGTATTTTATTTTCTGCTATTTGGCACTGATTATATTTGTCACTTAGCAATCTTTTATATTTATACACATCTTTCTTTCCTCAAAACCAGCTCAAAGACTTTTCAGTGTTTAGTCAGACTAATGTAGTGTATGTATTTAATCACACTAATATAGGAACCATATTTCTTTGATTTTATCATAATCATTTCTTATGTCAAAGCGGATTTACAACAAAAGGCGGCAGATGTAAAATTCATTTTCTCTCCTCAAAGTCATTGTATATAAGACATAATGTAGCTGTCATGTTCCCCATAGTAGACAGTAACAGTGGAAATGTGTGAACTGTTCTGTGTGAAACTTAAACCTGACATTAGTGTGACTGGACCCTCTTTGTGCTAATGTGATGTATGTCACAGGGCACAGGGCCTTGTCAGTACTGTGAGGGAGGGGGCGGAGGAGCAGGACGGCCTCTTGTTGTGATACCACGACCAAAGCTGTGTTTGTGTTTAAACAGAGGAGGAGGGACAGTATTTATGTCTCCTAATGCTTGGACAGCTATAGACACCAGGAAAAGGGAGGGCAGAGGGAGTGAGCACATGTGGCAGAACACAATTATACAAAACCTGAAGATATTATATTGCTTTAATAATAAAACATTGCCAATATATTGTTTACAAGGTTATATCCCAAATGTTGCTTTGAAAGTATTTAAGAATATTGTGTATTGTTGTCAGAAAGTTGCAAGAGGAATTGAAAAAGAGTAAAATAATAATCATAAAAATACAAACTTGGGGTGGATTTTCCAAATAAGGGCACAAAGATAATTCTGCACTTTTGTGTTTATATTATTTATAGTCAATTAACTTATTGTACAGCATTTTAGCACATTTCCAGTGGATTGCAAAAAATTATCAATAAGATATATGATTTTTCATATCTGATTTTTTTATTTATATATACAAATAATATATTCATATTTTGAGTACAAGTTTGAAGTTGGGTTAATTGCTATATCACTATCTCTACCGCTTATTAATATCACAAAGAATGTGATACTGCTGGCCTTGCTGTTTAGTCATCGTGTGAGTATGATATGAAGTTTTAGTGTAGTGAATTGTTGGTTGAAGCTTCATCATCAGACTGTTGTTTCTCATGGAGATTAAATTATTGTGTGACAAACACCCCCAGATCCTCTGCACATAGATTAGATCAATCTGTGTAGAAGTCTACTTGGCATGATTCATAGCTCTCTGCAGCATTCCCATGCACTCGCCTAATATCTTCAAGCTGTCTCTGGGCGGAGAAGCTTCAAATAAATACAAGTTTTAAAACATCGGGTCGTCCATCATTTGCCATCGTCATTCATCCAGGCTGCGTTATGAACTTCTACCTGATCACTGAACAGGGGATTTGATATGAGCCAGATTGGGATTTGGGCCTTTGGAAGTGTCACCTGAGCCCCCTCTGGGAGCGGCCTGTGCGCACAGAGTCCCAGGACTGTGTGTCTGCCACATGCACCACACAATACACTCCTCTGCAGTTGACAGATGAGAAGAATACACAGGCAAATACAAAGGAAAGCTCCTACAGGGCACTAGCTAGCACCGCTCTATTATGGAGTTATCATAGTCAACATTATTTGGATCAAAAGTGAAATTCTCATTATTTGCACCTTTATTTATGTACTGTACCAAAATAAATACAGACTTTTAAATCATGTGTTAATAATGTTGTGCATTTCATGTTGTAAAGGCCACTGTGGATTAGGCTTTTGAATAAATGCCCATATCATTGTGAATTGTGCAACTGGTGCAATACGTTGAATACTTTAACTAACTACTAACTTGCTTGTTTGTACATCCATACAGGGGATACAGAGCTGTGATACTGAGGGAAGTGTAGAGTGAAAGTGAGCGGGACTGAGGAATAGAAAGTGGAGTTGGGAACAAATCATTTTTGAGCAGAAGAGATGGTTTCTTATGTAATGTTGATATTTTAATCTCAAATTAATCTAGTTTGCATACAGTGCAGATTAGATTCACTGACTTTGCTAAATAAAACTAAATAATGGTTTATTATTATATCAAGTATAAAGAGAAAATAGTTTTATTCTAAGATGACGTCTAAATATATGTAAGTGTCAGACATAAATGTATTTCACTAACCAAGTAACCATTGGGGCTTTCCACTGGCTGTTTTTTGGTTTCTGTGTCTTCAGTCAACAACTTCCATATGACTCTATCTCTTGTCCTTCTGCTTTTGAACTTCTCCTTTGCCATCGGTGACCCCACTTTAACCCCTCCTCAGCCACATTTACCCCAGTCCTGGTGATGGGGCAATAACTTCAGGGTCCACTATGTGTAGATTGTTTGGTTCAGACCACATTTTAAACTCTGTAGTCGTCTTGCAGTAAGCAGTGCATTTTTATTGTGGGGTGTCTTTTGGCAAGAACGTGTAATGATATTATAAGATAAATAAGACGACTACAAACATTTGAAACATAATTAGTTCAGCATTTCATATTGAAATTTTGTCTTTCTAATGTTCCTGGAAACGTTTTAAAATGTGCAATGAGAACAGAAACCAAAAATAATTAACTTACTAATCTAACCGCAAAGGCAAAAGTTCCCAAATAGAGAATCACCCAGCCAAAAACAGTGCCTCTTATAATACTCCCAACAGTAACCACTACAGTCTATCCCCCAAACAAATTCCCTGTTTTTCCATCGTTCGTTAATATGGAAGGTACAATGGAACAGCTATGGCTAAACTGTGAGAAAAGATTGAACAATGCATGTTTCATACAATAATTTGATTCATGTGGATGTTTGATGTGCTTTGGGATCCTCTTCAAATGTTTCTCTCTACTGTCACTGCGCTCTGATGTGGTACTATATTATGTGAGCTGGATCGAAACTCACTCTTTGTTGTGGATATTTGTCTTTCTTAACACAAACGCTAATGACTTTTTGTTTATCTGGTCTTTCAACTTCCCCACATGTATTTCTGCATTATTTTTGACAGTGCTTTTTCAATGTGTGTGTTCAGGTGTGCTCCGGGCTTTTTGGGAGAATACTGTCAATACAAGGACCCCTGCCAGCCTGTTTACTGTATTAATGGAGGTAAATGTATTGTATCGCTATCTGGGGGTGTACCTGTCCCAGGAAACCCCACCTGCACCTGCCCCATCGGATACACAGGCGCACACTGTCAGATGCCCCAAAACTCCTCGTGCTACCCCAACAACCCCTGCATCAACAATGGGAAGTGTGAGCTGGTAACATCTCTGGACAAGTTCAAGTGTCGCTGTCCAAGAGGATGGACAGGTGAGAAAATATGTGGGGAACTGGGCTGCATAATTAGTCACAAGCAAATTATTTAGATAGATGATAGAATGTCCTCGGGAGACAACAAAACGACTGTTGTTAAGACTTCCATTAAAGGTGCTCTGTGTAACTTTTCTGGCGGATATTCGGCCACCTGCTTGTCTCCATGGAGATGTTATTGCCTTGTCTGAAATGTCACAGTATGACATTAAACGTGTCCCTCTTGTATTTACTCAATAACATGGGTTTTTAGTGACCTCTAAACTTGCATTCTTAGTATGAATGGGCTCACCTCTCCATAGATGTGACATATAACATGGCCTTGTTATGTTACCTGCTGTCTCCTTTGAGATAAATAAGTGTAATACCATACTGTGGAACATTCCAGGTAACATATCTATGGAGAGAAGCAGATGACTGATTCTCCACCAGAAAAGTTACACAGTGCACCTTTAACATGACTATATTGTTTTAAATGTTCATAATTTATTCTTCTGGAAACCTTATAATAGTAAAAAAAAATCCCCATATTATGAAGTCCTCATGCATACACTTACACATGGCAATATTACATATATGTGTATATGTATATATATGTTACATTAATGCTAATATTGTCTTCTTTACTGCATAGGGCCCCGATGTGAATACGAGGACAGCTGTCTCTCCAGTCCCTGTGCTAATGGGGGCGTGTGCACAGCTCAGTCCAGTCAGAACTACAAGTGCTCTTGTCCTTCAGGATACACAGGTCCCCGATGCCTCAATGACACGGACGAATGTGCAGCCACACCCTCCATCTGCCAAAACGAAGGCTTGTGCAGCAACACTCCCGGCTCCTACAAGTGAGTCTCGAAGTAGAAATGAAGTGAGATTAAAAATGTTCACATCTAAATATGATCCAGTTGATGGCACGCATCTCTCAAAAGCGTCTAATGTATATGTGAAGACCAGCTAGTAAACTACTATCCTTGATTTTAAATATTTATGCTTGAATATTTAAATACTGAACTTTTAAACTGCGTGTGTGTGTGTGTTATCGAGAATGTTATGTCTGTCCAGAGTTTTCTTGGCTAACATTCTGTCATGAATTACCCAAAAATGTGACTTGCAACATTGCTTTTTTTGCTCAGTTGTAATTTTGTTTTTAAAACCATGGTAACTGATTAAAACATGCTGCAGGTGTAACTGTGCACCTGGATTCACGGGGCGACACTGTGAGAGCTCCTATGTGCCCTGTTCCCCTTCGCCATGTCTCAATGGAGGCACCTGCCAAAGCTCAGAGTTCAGCTACTCCTGCCACTGCCTGCCTGGTATGACCTTACAACTTTAAAAACACATTTAAAAACACCTTAAAACAGTTCAACCTGTGAATGCGCATTTAGGATCCTTGAATGTCCATTAGCTTCCATGTTGTTTGTAAGTGGATTAGAAGATGGTACATGGTCAGTTTCACCAATGTCACCAACTTAAGTTTGTTAAAACATACACTTTATATGCTTATCTATTACATTTTCAAGCCTAGTAAAATTAAAAATCATCTAGCTCACTTTGGCCCCTGTACACCTTCCTAAACTACTCATACCTGCCATACTCTGAAACAGTGCTTTGGATTTGTTCCTATTTTTATATGAAGGTGTCACCAAAATTGTTCTGACTTTTGAAACGGTTACAATGTGTTTAAGGTGCAAACAGTCTGATCTTGAGGGGGTGTTTCCGTGTACACAGACAAAGAGCATGCTATAACTCTGCTACTTGTAAAGTGAGGGCAGACACAACAGAGTGTAAATGAATGCTGTTTATACAACACCAGGACATGTCATAATCCCTACACAACTTAAAGGATATCCATGTGCCCAAAAACAAATATATAGTGAATCAAAAACTTTACAACTTTACAGCATTACAACACTTTGGAGCTCAGTCTACAAAAGTTAGATATCAAATAGGGTTACTCAATTTGAAATCACTATTTTTTGGGTCACTACTGTATTAATCTTACATCTGCATCTGTATTAATCTTGTACAAATCTTACCTTTAATTTTGTTCCCTCTTTTATGTTTTATGTTGAAGTAAAAGCATATTAATGAATAAATACTGACTTTTATGCATGATTGTGTTGACAGGGTTTAATGGCACAAACTGTGAGAACAACATAGACGACTGCCCGGGACACCAGTGTGCCAATGGAGGGACCTGTATGGATGGAGTCAACACTTACAACTGTCAATGTCCGCCAGAGTGGACCGGTAATTCATATTCATTCATCAGAATTCTGTCTGTATTGTATCTGCATTGTTATATATTCAAGTCAAACAATAACCAAAATAAACTTTTAAGTGTTTTAATGATTGATGACTACATAACAAGATATGTAGTACAACAAGTTATGGAAAGTAACTTATTGTTATGTTGATTAAATGCTAACCCAGGTAATCCTCTTAGCCCTACCTAAGGCGTAAGAGGTGACACTATGGAGCAGCGACCGCCCACATTGCAGTTCATTCATTTTTCTCATAGACTTTCCAAAAGAAAATTAGTATTAGAAGTTTGAAAGCTTGCTCAAGGTTAATCAACTACATGGTAACTAATGACCACAAGACCTATAATTTGATTTTAAATCTGTTTCTGAAACATTATAAACCGCAATAGAAGATTAAAAAGATTTTACAGAATCTTGCATTTTAAACTGCCTTTTTGGATATTAGTTAGCATGTCGGGTCTATGGGAAAAATGAATTGTAATTTTACTTTTGGAACCTGTGCAGGCTGTCACTGTTGAGCTCCATTAGGATTGTCAAAAATCAATACCCAGAGACTAATCAATACTAAAACTATTGTAAAAGATGCTAATTTGAAGTATTGAAGTATTATAAATTGGATAAAACTGTAATATTCCTGAATAGTTGTAGAATAATCTTGATCAACATCAGGCTAGTTTTGAATAGAAAATTACATCATTTTGTCTAAAGAAAGATCTAGTAATATCATTGTGGTATCTGTGGACTCTATTATTAATTTGTACATTGTTTAAACTTGAAGGTCAGCATTGTACTGAAGATGTTGATGAGTGTCGACTACAGCCCAACACATGCCAAAATGGAGGAACATGCAGTAACTTACCAGGCAGTTACGTGTGTGTCTGTGTTAATGGTTGGATGGGTCCTGACTGCTCTGAAAACATTGACGACTGTGCAACAGCAGCGTGCTCCCAGGGCTCCACATGTATCGACCGCGTAGCCTCCTTCATCTGTCTCTGCCCGCATGGAAAGACTGGTATGCCATACATGCACCACCCTCCAACAATATTTCATTACGGTCATTGTATTGTTGGGCAAGACACTTTACCCACCTTACCTGTGTATGAATTTGATGTGTGTGTGTGTGTGTGTGCGTGTGTGTGTGTGTGTAGTCCTACAGTATGTTTAATTGACCATAAACTGTTTACCCAAAAGAAATATATTCTGATTTAGTAAGACTACAGTAGTTTTGTTAAAAGGTTTGGTTTAATTAATGTCCTTGCTCTTCTTAGGTTTGTTGTGCCATAGAGATGATGCTTGTATTAGTAACCCGTGTAGAGAAGGCTCCCATTGTGACACCAACCCAATCAGTGGCAAATTTAATTGCAACTGTCCGATAGGGTACATGGGCAGCACCTGTAACATAGACAGAGATGAATGCAGTATTGGTAAGTGCTTATACTACCTTCCTCTGAAATTGTGTTTTATCTTGGGTGAAATATTTATATCTTGTCTCCTTTTCTTGCAGGTGCTAACCCATGTGAGCACGGGGGTCAGTGTGTCAATACTGACGGGTCCTTCACCTGTAACTGTGTGCGTGGCTATGCTGGACCTCGCTGTGAGCAAGATGTCAATGAATGTGCTTCAAACCCATGTCAGAATGATGGCACCTGTTTGGACCGCATTGGAGAGTATACATGCATCTGCATGCCTGGTAAATTTTTAATAATTTAGAATTTGATGTCAAACCACTGAGGACATGCTAAATTATATGTATTTTTTTTGTTTCACTCTAGGATTTGAAGGGACTCACTGTGAAATTGAAATGAACGAGTGTCTAAGCTCTCCTTGTTTGAACCAGGGTAAATGTTTGGATCAGGTCAGTCGTTTTGTCTGCGAGTGCCCAGCAGGTTAGTAAAATTGAGTTACTGAATAATGTAAAGCTGTTAATTTTGTCTTTAATGTTTTCCCTTTTCTTCTGCAGGTTTTAGCGGTGAAATGTGCCAAATAGACATCGATGAATGCTCCAGCACACCCTGTTTAAATGGGGCTAAATGCATTGACCGGCCAAATGGATATGACTGTGAATGTGCTGAAGGTACCACCAAATGCTTAAATGGCCCATAGAACACTATTTTCTGTTCTATGTTATAATGTTGTTTCCTCATGAAAAATATTCCCTCAATCGTGTTTTGTTTCATTCATACACAAATCCTAAAAATCTCTCAAAAGAAAACATCTTGTGATGTTATGTGTTAATACAGGAAGTGCTCCACTGTATTTTTAAACTGCATACACTTTAACTAGAATCCTTTGGATAATTTCAGCCTTGGAATTTCCAATCTCTACTGAACTAATAGTAAAAGGTTCCTGAAAGCTACTGCCTCATGACATCACAAGGTGAAACAGAGCATTTTGAGCTTTGGAGATACAGATAAACTTAAACTTGTATAGAAAAAACTAAACACAACTCCAGGTACGGTTGATGGGCTTTGATGAGGTAACAGCATTTGAACATGGCTATAATCCATTTTGTTTAATATACATATGACCTTTAAATGTTTTGCACCACTTTTGATGTGTATCGCTAAAGTACATGATTTTTCTTGTGTAGGCTTTACGGGTGTGCTCTGTGAGGAGAACATTAATGAGTGCGTGCCCGAGCCTTGCCATCATGGTGAGTGTAAGGACGGCATCGCCACCTACACCTGTGAGTGCAATCCAGGATACACCGGCTCCATTTGCAACATCCAGGTGCAGGAGTGCCATAGTAACCCCTGTCAGAACCGAGGCCGCTGTATTGATCTGGTCAATGCTTACCAGTGCAATTGTCCACCAGGCACCAGAGGTAAAACTCACAAATCTAAGCACATTTGGTTAATCATTTTCTCTATATGTCAAGAATTCATTACTGATTCTAATTCAAGCCTATATTCAAATCATAGCCAGAACTGTTAAGGAAATGTTAAGGTACACTAAGAGAAAGTTTGTCCTCTGCATCCTTCAGTGTGACCATGCCTTGTAGTATATAAAATGTGCAGCCAAAACATACTACTGTATAAATATTTCTCACTGCAAAGACTGCTGAACCATGTTGCTCGATGGATCTGCGTGCTGTACCAGCTTGACCCCTGGTACATGAATCTCTGCCCCACTCACAAAAAGCTTAAATTGTCACGTCCTGTTTTTTGGTTCATACCTTCAGTTCTGCTTTTCTGGAGTTTCGTGTTCCTTTTTATTATTGTTCCGACTGATTCAATTCCTTTTTCACCTCATAAAAATGTCTGCATGTAGTCTTACAACACTCATTAAGTCACTTTGGTTTGTATGAGCTACTTTTATGGAGTATAGCTCCCCCTGGTGGCAAGTAATACTACATACAGTTAGGATAACTAAAAGCAATACACAATGACAACATAAATTTTGTTAAATTATGTGTAAATATATGTTGTCTTTAATTTCTCAGGTGTGAACTGTGAGTATAATGATGATGATTGTGCTAGTAATCCTTGTGAAAATGGAGTGTGCATTGATGGCATCAACGAGTACACATGTGTCTGCACTCCGGGATACACAGGTATAATTTTTACACTCAATTAAATAAAGGATTTAAGTTCTTTGTTGTTGCAATGCTGTAACTATTACACTTTATCATCAATGTTGAAACCATATAGGAGCAAAGTGCAATGTGGAGATTAATGAGTGTTCCTCAAACCCGTGTATGAGTGGCGGTACTTGTGTGGACAAAGTAAATAGTTTCCAGTGCCAGTGTCCTCCGGGCACCCACGGTCCTCTGTGTCTCTCTGGGATGGACCACTGCGCTCACCGGCCCTGTCTTCATGGAGAGTGCATTGAACAACAGCATGGGTAAGCATTTAAACACGTCATCTTGTATTGTAATTCTTGGAGCTACAAGCTGATATGTAAATATGCATTATTATTCTTTGTATAGATACCACTGTGAGTGTGAGCCTGGTTGGACAGGAGAGCATTGTGAATCAGAGAGAGATGAGTGCCAAAGTCATCCATGCCAGAATGGTGGCAGCTGTGTGGACCATCACAATGGATATACCTGTCAATGCAAAGCCGGCTACAGAGGTAAACATTGAAATGTACTACTGTATTGTTTTGTTCATAATATGAACGTAATTAACACTGTTCTCAAATAACCTGGCCTGTCTCCTCCTACAGGTATGAATTGTGAGATTGATATAAATGAATGTGCCTCCTGGCCATGTCAGAATCGCGGCATCTGCGTTGATGGAGTCAACAGTTACACTTGCCGTTGCAGTCCACCTTACACAGGTTTATATTGAACTGGATAGTGACCATGTAATTTAGTATGCGGTTTATCTAATTATGTAACATGTTCTCAAAGGTAAACACTGTTCAGAGGAGCTTGCTCCCTGTGCCTCTCGTCCTTGTGAAAAAGGCGGAGTTTGTCGTCCAACTCCAGACTACACATCTTATACCTGCCAATGTCCAGTCGGATGGCAAGGTATGTGTTTTTATAAATGAAGTAATCTGATACATATTGATCTAATGTAGGATAAGAGGCCTTATTAACAGCTTATTTGTGAATTCTTGTAGGTCCACGCTGTAGTGAAGATGTTGATGAATGCAAAAAGAATCCTTGCAAAAACAATGGGAATTGCATTAACAGTCCTGGCAGCTACTTGTGCAAATGTCAACCAGGCTATAGTGGACACAACTGTCAGACAGATATAGATGATTGCTCTCCCAGTAAGTTTCTCTTTTTATATTATTTGAATCAATATTATCTATTCATAAAGTATATCACGCTACTGATTACACGTATTTTTGATTTGTCAAATTACTTCTTTTGTAGACCCATGCCTAAATGGAGGATCATGTGTGGACATAGTGGGAGGGTTCACCTGTGATTGCCGTCCAGGATTTAAAGGGTCCCGTTGTGAGACTGAAGTTGATGAATGCGCCTCACACCCTTGCAAGAATGGGGCCAGCTGCAGAGACTATGTTAACAGCTTTGTGTGCGAGTGTCGTCCAGGATTTGATGGGATTCTATGCGAACGTAACATTCTTGAATGCACAGAAAGGTGGGACACTTATTTAAGAAACACTCTGTGCCCGTGTTTTTTAGTTTTTTGAATTAACACATTTCTTGCTGATCTTGTTTTCTAGTTTGTGCTTGAACAATGGAACATGCATCGATGATATAAATACCTTTTCATGCCGCTGCCGTCCTGGTTTTTATGGCACTTTCTGTGAATATGAGCACAATGAGTGTGACTCTCAGCCCTGTAAGAATGGAGGGACTTGTACTGATGGTCTGGGCACCTATCGCTGCACCTGCCCTGCGGGATACAATGGACCCAACTGTCAGGTACAGGTGTCATTTTGTACACCTACCTACCTACCTAGTTGTGGTTGAAGTAATATTTATAATATATCTTGTTTTGTGTGCAGAATCTTGTAAACCTGTGCACCCACGTTCACTGTAACAATGGAGGGTCCTGCTCTCAGACAACCACCACCTGGACCTGCCACTGTACAATGGGATGGACTGGCCTTTACTGTGATGTTCCTAATATGTCATGTGAAGACTATGCTGCCATAAAAGGTAAAACAATGGAACATTAATATGCCTTTATTATGTTTGTGTTGAGTGCATTTAATTGTGAGAGGCTACCAAAAAATACTTGAATGTTTGCGTTCTTTCATAGATCCGAAAATGAAGGTGGAGGATGTATGCAAGAACGGTGGGCTTTGCATAAATGTTGGAAAGTCCCATCAGTGCCAATGCCAAACTGGATACACGGGTAGTTATTGTACAGATGTGGTCGATGAATGTAAGTCAAATCCCTGTCGCAACGGAGCTACATGTGTCAACTATCTGGGCACATATGAATGTAAAGTAAGTATTTGTGACTTTTTCTGGAGGACTTTTTTTCTCTCAGCAGAAATAAAATATTTAATATGTTTGTATTGCTTTTTATTAGTGTAAACCAGGCTTTCAGGGAGTCAACTGTGAATATGATGTGGATGAGTGTCACTCAAAGCCCTGCCTCAATGGTGGAACCTGTATCAATCTCATTAACCACTTCACCTGTGCATGTCCGCCAGGAACTCATGGTAACTATAATACTGCTAAGAATATTTTAAATGCATTACCTTTGGTAAGACTGTCTCTCATTCATCTGCTCGTGATCTGTAGGGGTACAGTGTGAGGTAAACGAGGACGACTGCGCTCCCAAATCAGGCTCCTCTGAGCCGCGCTGTCTGAACGGGGGGCAGTGTGTAGATGGGATCGGCCGATACACCTGCACCTGTCCTCCGGGGTTTGTGGGTGAACACTGTGAGGGAGATCTCAATGAGTGTTTGTCTGAGCCCTGTCATGCTCCTGGCAGCCTGGACTGTGTGCAGCTGGACAACGACTATAAGTGCCGCTGTCGCCTAGGTTACACAGGTACACTGGTTTGTGTGTTTAACATGGATGGTTGTAGTAACAACAGCTTTTACGGTAACTGTGTTGTATGCTTTATTTCCAGGGCGACACTGTGAGTCTATGGTAGATCTGTGTTTGTCCAAGCCCTGCCATAACAGTGGCACTTGCTTTATGAACATGAGCTCAGTCCATGGTTATATCTGCTCCTGTGCCCCTGTAAGTCTGCTGTAACTTCTATCATCTCTAGACCTCTCCTTCTGCTTTTCAATCTGTTTAGTCAGCCACTGCTCTTTACACTAAACACTTCAAAATATTTTTCTTATTCTCACATTTGCTTCAGAGGGATTAAACAGGTATGCTATGCATGCAGCCCTAGGGAAAATTAGATACTCAGAATAGTTACTGTTGTGTGGTAAGTTTTATTTAATGGTGGTATTTGTCTATGTAGGGTTTCACTGGATATAACTGTGGTGAACTAGTAGGATGTGCCAAACTACGATGCCTGAATGGTGGGCACTGTGTGGATCAGCCATCGGGTCATCTGTTCTGCCAGTGCCAGTCCGTCTTCAGTGGTCCACACTGTGAAAAGTGTGGATGCAAAAATGGAGGAACATGCGCCAAAGACCCTTCAAACCCATATCAGCACATCTGCGTCTGTCCCCTACACTTCTCTGGCCGATTTTGCCAAGTGTCATCACCACCCAAACGCATGTGCCCATACCCCCAGTGTGAGAACCAGACAGAGGATAAAGTATGTGATGATCAGTGCAACAACTACGAGTGTGAGTGGGATGGTGGAGACTGCTCTCTCAACTGGAAACAGCCCTGGATTAACTGTACCGCCAGTGTCCCCTGTTGGGACTTGTTCAAGAATGGACGCTGTGATAAGGAGTGTGACAACCCTGGGTGTCTCTTTGACAGCTTTGAATGTCGAGGGGATGTCCCAGAGCCTTGCAAGTAAGTCTTTATCTTAGTTTGCTTTACTTAAATACGTAATTTATATACAGATTGCAATTTTATTCTGTGTTTTCAGATATGACAAGTACTGTGCAGATCACTATGATAATGGATACTGTGACCAAAGCTGCTACACTGAGGCGTGTGGCTGGGACGGCCTCGACTGTTCAAAGGATTCTACACCCAAATTACTGGATGGTGTTCTGATTATTGTCGTGCGACTGCAGCCTGAGGAGCTGCTTGGAGACTTGAGAGGCTTCTTGCGTTCTCTTGGGGCATTGCTGCATACAAATGTAAAAGTAAAGTTGGATGAAAATAATAAACCAATGGTCTATCCTTTCTATGGGCAAGAGGCGGGTTGGCACCTGCTTAAGCGCAGAAGCAAGCGTGAACTAGACAGAGAAGTGATTGGGTAATATATCAATAATGCTTTTAGGTCTTGTATTCAAACATTGTATTCACCATGAAAAAAAAAACATTCATTGTTTTTTTATTTTTTCTCACAGCTGTCAAGTGTATCTGGAAATAGATAACAGAGAATGCTTCCAGAGATCCCCGACTTGTTTCTTAAATATAAATGAAGCTGCATCCTTCATTGCTGCTGCTCACATAAAGGCAGATCTTCCATATCCTCTAGTGTCCATAGGCAGTAAGTTCACATTGAGTTGACTTTACTGAGATTATAACTTGTACTTGTTGTTCTACTATTATACACCATGTTACTGTAGTAAGTAAAGTAAAAAAGAATCTGTCTCCTAGGTGATCCAACTGTTGTGCCAAAACCAGAGTACTTGATGTACGTAATTGGAGTAGCAGTGGTAATTATTCTGCTCATCCTTGTCTTGGGAATGCTAGCAGCCAAAAGGAGACATAAACAGGGTATCTTGTGGCTGCCTGATGGCTTTTTGCCTTCTAAAAATGACAAGAGGAAAGAACCTGTTGGGCAGGATGACTTTGATCTGAAGTAAGTTAATCAGTTTTGTACATGCTGATTGCAATTAAATGAAAACAAAAAACACTAAGTCAGTTTCTAATATTTTAAGAAATTTCAAGACGCAAGATGGAAATGTGATCGACCACAATTCGGGGTGGCTTGAAGATGAAGCAGAACCCAAGAAGCCAAGAGTGAGCAATCTAAAAAAACAAGTTGCTTTTTGTTGTCATTGTATTTAGACATGTGCTTTTTGCAGACTGAGGACAAACCATTACTGCCCATTGCTATGGATGGAAGTGTGGATCAAAGACAATGGACCCTACAGCATCGCAAAGCTGCTGATATCACTCTAACACCACCACAGGCCGATATGGACACTGATTGCCTTGATGTGAATGTCAAAGGCCCAGGTGAGTGTATATTTTTTCTACTACTTTTTACTACTGTTTTATTTTCCATCTTGTTAATTGGAAAATGGAAATGCAGCAAATTGCGTTCCATGGATGACACAAAATTACATTTTGGAATATATGTTAAAGTTAAAGTTAGTATAGAAAGTTAGTATAGATCTAAGCACAAGTGACACCATCTGCAGTGAATTACTGCTTGACATTCTTTCGCCAGTGCCATAAAGAGAAGTAGGCAGGTAAAGGGCAGAAATTAAAACAATTTCTGAGAGCTCAAGCTCCAGATGCTAGTATGAGTAAACTAATGATGAGGGGAAACTATTACAGCATGGTTGATAGTTATTTTGTCTGTTTTAAGTTGTATTTATTGGCTCTATGTCTGCAGTATTATTCTAACATGTTGTGCATTACATTTCAGATGGTTTCACACCACTGATGTTGGCATCTTTGCGTAATGGTGGAGGTCTTGACTGTAGCTTGCATGGAGATGAAGAGGAGGAGAGTGGAGGTGAAGAACAAGGACCAAGTGTCATTTCAGACCTGATATCTCAAGGTGCTTCTCTGATGGCCCAGACCGACCGCACAGGAGAAACTGCTCTGCATCTAGCTGCACGCTATGCTAGGGCTGATGCTGCTAAACGCCTGCTGGATGCTGGAGCTGACCCCAATGCTCATGACAATATGGGCCGAACTCCGCTTCATGCAGCAGTGGCTGCAGATGCACAAGGAGTCTTTCAGGTCTGTACTCCTAAACAGTACAGTAGTGACACATTAATAAAATAATTATAATTTCACAGTAATGTTATATTTTCCTTTTTAGATCCTGATCCGTAACCGTGCAACTGAGCTTGATGCCAGGATGAATGATGGTACCACTCCTCTGATCTTAGCTGCCAGATTGGCTGTGGAGGGCATGGTAGAGGAGCTGATCCACTGCCATGCTGATATTAACGCAGTAGATGACCATGGTTAGACTTTTCCGCAGTGTTATACATCACCCATATGAATTCCTTATTTAACTGTTTTGTTAATTTTAGGCAAATCTGCTCTGCACTGGGCAGCAGCAGTAAACAATGTAGAAGCTACACTGGTTCTTCTCAAGAATGGAGCTAATCGTGACATGCAAGATAACAAGGTTTGTTTATATTCATTTGATGTTTTTTTTTCTTAGCTTAAACTGTTTTGGGCTGAATTTTCTTTAATATTTGTCTGAATTTCAGGAGGAGACACCCTTGTTTCTTGCTGCCAGAGAGGGCAGCTTTGAAGCTGCTCAGGTACTGTTGGATCATTACTCGAACAGGGACATAACGGATCACTTGGACCGATTACCTCGTGATACTGCTCAGGAGCGCATGCACCATGACATTGTTCGTCTGCTGGACCAGTACAATTTGGTTCATAGTCCTCATAATGGGCAGCACATGGGAGGAAACTCCTCAATTGTTTGTGGGGCTAATGGAGGTGGATACATTGGCATGCGCACTGGGCCACAGGGGAAGAAGAGTAGGAGAGGAGGAGGTGGAGCAAAAGTGGCTGGAGGAGGACCTAAGGAGCTTAAGGACATGAAGGCCAAGCGCAGAAAGAAGCCCACTGGAGTAGAAGCGCCAGTGACAGGTGGAGGTGCAGCAGGAAATGGGACCAGCTCAGCAGGAGCCCAAACAAATGGTGTGAAGACGGCAGCACTCCCCGAGAGCTCCATCACCATGTCCCCCGTGGACTCCCTGGAGTCCCCTCACTCATATACTGGGGACGTGTCTGCTCCTGTTTCCACTACAGCAAACTCCCCTCCCCTTCTCAACAGCCCTAGCAGCAGACCTCTGCTACCTCCGGTCAGCCACATGCTAGGCCAGCAGCAGGGCTGGGTGGGCATGCCCAAACATGGGTATAACGGCTCCATGTTTGGCTTAGTGCCACACCAGATGGGTGGGGCGCACCCTGGCATGAGCCAACACCGCGGCCAGGGGGCAATGTTGACACCAATGAATGTGACCATGAGCAGAGAGCAGCTTCCTCCCATCGTCACCTTCCAAATGTTGTCCACTGGTGGTGGGACAGCCCATGCTGAAGCAGCCCCAGCCTGGGCAGGTCCAGGTCACACAGTCCCAAACCCCGCAGCACGGGCCCCCTCCTCTGCACTGCTCCCAGATGTACCAAATGCCTGAGCAGATGAACATGACACATGCCCTATCTCACGCACTCCCACACGCCCATACGGTCAACCACGGAGGTCACAGCATTGACGGCCAGTCCCGAGCACTGCCTTCCTACCCCACTATGCAGAGCCCAGTGGATAAGTACCCCACACCCCCGTCTCAGCACAGCTACACCCCAGCCAACTCAGAGGGCACCACTCCGGGTCATTCTGCCCATCCTGCCAGCGAGCACCCTTACCTCACCCCTTCTCCAGAGTCTCCAGACCCATGGTCCTCCTCCTCCCCACACTCCAACTCGGACTGGTCAGATGTGACCACAAGCCCCACCCCTCTGGGCACTGCCCACCATGCACTAGCCTCTTCACATCGCACACACATTCCAGAGCAGGCACAGCACCAGCAACAGTCACAGCAAATGCAGCAAGCATCACAGCAGGCTCCGCTTGGGAACATGCAGGTGTTTGCATAGACTTATCCAAAGCAGATGAACTCTGTGTAGTTTAACTACATGAATTAGTGACTCATAAACTGCTCTATTTCTTTATCAGTATAATATTTGTTTATCTTTTAAAGGTTGATTGTTTCCTCTTTCTTAATGCACTTGATAAGTCTATGTATTGTTTCCAAAAGTATTACTCATAAATACGCAAGTTCTCATCAGCACAATGTTCATGCAGTAATCTCAAAGGCTTTAGTTTGAAAACTTGCCTTTTTGGTCTTGGGCCATTTAATGGTGATGGGTTGTGGAATCCTTCAGAAACCACTGACTTTGTCGGCATAATAGCAAAAATTGTTGCATAGAACGGGTGTTTTGTTTGTTTTTTGTGTGTACAATATGTCAATACTAACTTGTGGAACCTTTAAATCTAATGCTTTTATATGATGGGTCAAATGATGCTTTTATTCTTAAAGCTGAACTTCTACAGGAAAGATGATCACTCTGAATGATGCTTGTAAATGTATGCACACGTCTTTGTATGTCTTAATCTGTTCCATGACGAAAAACCTTTTAGTATTTTCACACTTGAGATCTGCATGCACCGGATGCATTAGATGATGTTTACTTGTTGAAGTGATGTCTTATTACTCATGTTTCATAAGTACCCATTTTACTAAATTCAGCTACAGCAATGTGTAATTGTTTTTTTGTTTTTTTTTCGGAACTGAAATTGAAAAGCTGGACAAACTTTACAGAAAAACATGAATTAATGTGTAGTGTGATAACATGTACATAGACATATAGCACATTCTGCTTGTTTTTTTTAGTTTTGTTTTTTTTACAGAGATCAGCAGTGTTTAATGAGTATCTTTCTGTTTTATATGAAAAATTCGCACTTCAGTTATTTTGAATGTTACAGAGGTGCTAGTTTTCCTCTTTAGTGTCTTCCAAAGTCATGAATCAGATTTCGCTTTAATACAATCAGTCTCTGCTTGCACCTTTGATAATTCACCTTGACTGTTGACTATTATGGACAGACAATCATTCAAAAATCCAAAAAATAGCACCACAATATTTTTGACCAAATTTTTGGGTGAAAATAATTTGAATGAAAAAATAGAATTTCTTACAATTATTTTTTAAAAAGATATGCAAAGCAATATTTAAATAAACAAAACCAAATAGTTTAATGTAATTCTGACGTTACAATCCTTTGTAATTTAACGTATCATCAAAAGCTTGTCTTCTTTGTTCTGTATATAAATGTTTTGTTGTTTTATGTTCATTGTACTTTGTTACCAATAATCTATAATAGACATGTTACATGAAGTAGTTGTCAGCATATTTGTATAAGGTAGAGAACTAAATAAAGACATTTTGTTAAAAAAAAAAAAAAAAGAACATCTTAATGCTTACTGAAATAAAAGGTCAGTGCAAACACTCAGTGAAGTTGTGTTTACTCAAGATTTATTTATCTTTTTTAGAATTCTACACACTCATGAACATAGCTCACTTCTCTTGATCAATACGCATGCAATGCCAATGTGTGTATGCTCACTACAAAGGCAAAATGTTAATAAGACTAAGCTATATTCATTACCATTTTATTTTGTTAAATACTAGGCCTACATGACAATGATAATATCACAGAACAGGCTTGGTTGGGAGCATACACAGCCTATGGTTGGGACATTCCCTTATCGTCCAAACGTGATGTTGTTACAGATGAACGGCAGCAGGCGTCGCTCTGTTGTAGATTTGATTTTGTCAAGAACGAGGAAGAACTGTGTACACGGAAGTAGTGAGGTTTCAGCTCGAGCTCGGAGTTTACTGAAGATGCTACTTTTGTGTCTCTAATAGTCGCTTAGAAAGTGTCGGTTGATGGTTTGGGGATGGCAGATTACCTTAGAGGTTTGTGTTTGGGGATTCTGACTTGAAAATACGCTCTTTGAGTGGACGGTGTATAGCTGTGCGGGTCAATGGACGCCAGGACTTATGACTTAGGAAAAGTGCTGCTGTTTTGACAGCTGCCTGAAGCTTCACTACCTGTGTGTCTGTGTCAGAGATCAGCTCTATAAGTAAAAACGGCCCACATGAATAAATTAAGGCAATAATTCGTGTATAGATTTCACATGAAAGCGTCTGGATTTGGAGCAGCTTTTTAACGCTCGTTAAAGAAGGTAAATCTCTCAAGTCTCTTTACATGTTTGTGTATCATTTTAATCGTATAAGTGTGTATGTTCCAGTCCCTCCCTTGAGCCAGACGTGACCATGGCGTCTTCCCGGCTAAAGTACATGTCTTTGGGGGTGCTGGTGTTCCAGACCACATCCCTGGTGCTCACCATGCGCTACTCCCGGACGCTGCAGTCTGAGGGTCCGCGGTACCTGGCTTCCTCCGCCGTGGTTGTGGCGGAGCTCTTGAAGATCCTTACCTGTGTTCTGCTCGTCTTCAAGGAGCACAGTGAGTTTTGATTAAGCAGTGAGACTTCAGTATTTCAGAATATGTTGTTATATCAATATTTAGACACATTACTAAGCTTTTGATTGCATTTACCACCCTCTAGAGGCATACAGTGATAAACTTGTATAATAATTCTATGCCATTTTTCAGGTTATAGCATGCGAGCCCTGAACAGTATTCTCCGTCAGGAAATCATACACAAACCTATTGAGACTCTGAAGCTTGCCATCCCCTCTGGCATCTACACTCTCCAGAACAACCTGCTGTACGTGGCTCTATCCAACCTGGATGCAGCCACTTACCAGGTACTGTCGCAGCCCGTCCAGTATCCAAGTGTACATTAGTATGTGTCTTATCTATTGCTTTATGTTGTCAGGTGACGTATCAGCTGAAAATCCTGACCACTGCTCTATTTTCCGTATCCATGCTGGGTCGTAGGTTAGGGGTGTACCAGTGGCTCTCGCTCCTCATTCTTATGACCGGAGTGGCACTTGTGCAGGTATAGTGACGTTTTTCCACTAAGCAAGCAACAAAACTGTAGCGCTGTAACAAAATTATTTAGAAAATACACCAAAAAATACTCAGCAACCCACGATACGATATATCAACATTTCAGTATTTTTGCACACCACAGATTTTTTCCTTAAATTACTAATTAGTATGTATACACTGCATCTACTAGTACATAGAATGTTTAGTACAAATTAAACTTGTATTGCAGAGTGTGATATAGGATAAAAGCATTGTTTGTCACAGAAACTGCCCAAAGACAGAATACCTCAACAAAAAGGTTTCAGTGGGATAAACTACAATACAACACAAACGTTTTTGATCTTTGAGTGATACTGGTGTGTTGGCATTTTGTTACTTCTTGCCTGGGGTCCAGAATTCACACTTTTCAATACTTTACAAGGATGTGAGTGTGGTCACTGCTAAATCTGAGGGGAGACAAATTTTATTGGTAAATTATTTGAGACCAAGGAGCTCCTTTGTTTTTGATGCATCATTGAAAAAAAATCTGATTGCACAACCACATTTGACTGGGCTTGAGGCATGACAGAGGGCGTGGGGACCACACCGGTATTAATTTGTATAATAAAAAATAGAGAGCTATCATTCTGGATTTGCCAGGCAACCAGATAAACTCTTATTATCTTATAATCATCTCTTTGTATGAACAAGAACACATATTTACATAAGTACATTGGAGAATGAAGAGTCACAAAAAATGTTGTTGGATTAACATTATCATATTACCACATTATACCCCCATGGACTCTGTAATGGTAATGTATTTCAGTTCAGTCTTTAAAAAAAACTCTACATGAAAAACTGTCCATCAGTCTGTGCTACGTCTTCTAAATAGTGTGTCCTAATTGATTTTGCCTGTGTGCAGTGGCCATCTGAGTCTGCATCGGCTGCAGAAAAGGAGGTGCTGTCGGCTGGATCACAGGTTGTTGGAGTGACGGCCGTCCTGGTCGCATGTTGCTCCAGTGGCTTTGCAGGAGTTTACTTTGAGAAGATTCTGAAGGAAAGCAAGCAAAGCGTCTGGGTCCGCAACATCCAGTTAGGTGTGTGTCAACCACCCCCAGTTTCAAGTTTGTTGAGTAATGTGGTGCAGTTTGCCTGTGATGTAGTAACCGTTTAGGCCAGGGGTGCTCACACTTTTTCAGCATGCGAGCTACTTACAAAATGACCAATTCATAATGATCTACCTAATACAAGGCCAAGCAAACTGCACTGAAACACTCTGTGCCCCTTTTTTGGACCCTCACCCACAGTTTGAGAACCCCTTCTTTAAGAGAACTTCCTCTGGCACTTTACACAAAACTGTGAAAAAAGTGAAGGAAGATTTTTAAACCTGTTTTTTTAAAGTTCCAAACTGTAGTTGCATTCTTTTCTGGTTTTGCAGTGATATTTACCAGCCTCTGCACGTTTATCAAACCAAACGCACATCGTGACAAACACAGATGCATTTGTGCACTTTTGTTAGGCAAACTTCAGCCAAATGTGGCAGTAGGTCTGTTCTGTAGATCCGCTCTATGCTGTAGACCTGCTTTGTGCCAACACTGGAACACAAATTTAGTCTCGTTTTTGCTTCACGTTTCGTCTTGCTCTTCTAATCAGCACGCACTGTGGAAGGGGCTTGTGTTCGCTGTATGCAGGAAGGAGCAAGAGCGTGAAAAGGCGAGGGGCGGCGTGCTGACGTGAGACAGATGGACAGGTAGGATGTTTAGGAAGTTTAACCTGCCCTGTGATGCACGCTGGTACACGAGGGCACACGCTGTTGCAGACGAGCCATGCATAGGGAGCGTGTGTATTTGTGATGTGCCGTAGAGTCCAACAGCAGCGGCCATAATGAAATATGATCGCACTTGTTGAGTGTCAGACCTTTAGTGAGAGACAAGACCGAGTCCAAACGCGAGTCCGAGACGAGACACGGCGATCTACCCACACAACCTTGGCGATCAACTGGTAGATCGCGATCTACGTATTGAGCACCCCTGGTTTAGGCCATACAGAGGTATTACTCTCTACAAAAGACACCAACTCACTTTAGCAATCAGCTCATTTATAATCTTTAATACTATACAAAAGGATTTGCTTCCATTATTGTAATATGATTGATTTTATGTTACACCAAGAACATTTCATTGTGTTGATTTTTTGTTGTTGTTGTTGTTTTTTTGGAAGATCCAGCTTTTTGACTTAATTGCAAAACTCACTCTTAAGAAGGTATGCTCAGATGCTCTTTTTGCTACAGTTATGTAGCACAAAGCATTTTGTTTAAATTACAAACAGTAATACTTGTGACTATGCAGAGAATTTGTAAATGCTGGCTCTGCATTTCTGAAGAGCATCTTTTACAAACTGCCACGACTTGCAGAACCAGCTGGGTGTTAAAGCTTGTGCTTCCGCTAAGACAAATGTTCCTGTCTAGTTTATTTTTACCCCCGTACGTGTGAGGCGTGTGTAAGCTCTCTGGTGACTCTCAATGTGAGCTAAGAGATGTTTTTCACCTGCAATAAATGCTGAAGTTTTCTAAAAGATACAATACCACGAGACATGAGAAACCAATGACATGTGTTTGTATTTAGGGATGTTTGGGCTGGTATTTGGCCTTATTGGCATGCTGCTCTATGATGGAGAGAGGGTCCGAGAGTCTGGGATGTTCCAGGGTTATAACACACTCACCTGGACAGTTGTGGCGCTTCAGGTAATGCCTCACACCAGAGACACTTTGTGAATTATACACATATTTATTTTGTCTGTATTTCAAAATAATTAAAATCTGAGGTTAACAAAAGAAAGACAATTAAATGGCCCTCTGCATACTTTGGTTCAAACTCTCAAAAGATTTATACTCAAATACTAATTTGAACAAGTATCAATATTGAAAGAAAAGCACATAAATAACATCAAATTTACTTTCCAGAATAGAACAGTCCTGTCTTACTTTCTAATGTCTAAAATAAATTCAAAGCTGCATCTCTTATTGAAACTTTCCATAATATCAAAAAGTTTGAAATGTAAACATCGTGACAGCATTAGTTTGGTTTATTAGTTACATTATCTTTTAGTAAAGCCAGCATTTTTCCCACCTGCCCAATGCTTTTGCACAGAGCTGTACGTCAATGTGAGGACTCCCTGTTGGCGTTTACAGGTCATGCCTTGGTCCATCTGTTTCTGTGTGTTTGTTTCTTCAGGCGCTAGGGGGTCTGGTCATAGCGGCAGTTATAAAGTACGCAGACAACATCCTCAAGGGCTTCGCTACATCCCTCTCCATCATCCTGTCAACTCTTATATCCTACTTCTGGCTCCAGGACTTTGAACCTACAGGGTAAACATTTGTATTTGTAGGATTTTCTCATTTTTAACTCATGGGTTTCAGCCTCTTGTTGTTATAGGGGACTTTTTTTAAGGTAACAATTATTTTCATCATTCTGAAACCCATGGATAGATTGTGTTTATGGACAGATTGCGTTTATGGACTAGAATTTCATGCTGTTATAATTTTAGATGGAGTGCAGGGGCCATTGGTTTCTGTTTTTGAAAGAATTGTCCACATACTATCTTACAAGTTGCACTTTATTTGTTAACTTGCTCAACAAATTTGCCATATAAACTCTTAAAGAAGTTGAACTTTGTTAAATTCTATCCAGCAAAAAGGACGTGCAAGCTTAGTGTATTAATGTGCTCTATGTAAATACTAAACAAAACTGCTTTTATATTACATTTATTCATGTTGTCTTTTGTTCACAGGGTGTTCTTCCTGGGAGCAATTTTAGTCATTGTGGCTACTTTTCTGTATGGGTATGAAGTTAAGCCTGCTGTGAATCCAAGCAGAGCATAGTACTCTTCAGAGGGACACTACAGCAGTATGAACCCTTGGAGCAGAGGGGAACAGTGTGCAGAAAAACAAGGGGAAAAGTCAAACATTGTCAAACATTTGGACCAGTCAAACATTTGAACACACCATCTCATTCAATGTTTGTTTCCTAATTTTTACTACTTTCTGCATTTTATATACTGGTACATATAAATCACAATCAATCACATCAATCAAATATATGAAGTAAGGTATATAGAATCATGTAGCAAAAAAAATTTAAATAACTCTAAATACTAAATATTTTTGTTTTATATTTTATATTCAAATCCTCAGAGTTAGCGTTGTTGAAAAAATATTTTGTTATTTAACTTTTTTCCTTCACTGCATAATTCCATATATCTTTGTACTCATGTATTTTTTTATTTGTGGGTAAAGAAATCAATATTGTTGCTCCGGGGTTTCAATAGTGTAAATACTGATCAAATGTGTGGGGTTATTTAAATACAGTACTTCAGCTGTATGTTTTTTTGGTTTTTTTTTGGAACATGAGATTATAATTAATATCTTTATTTTAATTACAACGGTTGATTATTTTATAAAACAAATGTGTGGACTAAGCAGTGTCTTCTCAGTTATTCTAACAGCATGCTACAACATTGCCGACTTGAATTTGAATCCAGAAAGTAAGTACCAAAGAGGAAAGGAAATTGCATATTTGTAATCTGTTCATTTTAATCAGTTAAAAACACCATGCAAAGACCACACAGATTTACTGAGATCAAAGACCAAGATCCAGAGTTTCCTGTAATCATACCATTTTACCCCATTCATTTGGACTGATCACTAGGTTTAACGCAGGACGGAATTACAATAATGAGTCCAAGCATCCTTGTGATTGCTGTGCTGTGCACTGCTTTGTCCTTGTCAAATCTTCAGGCACATCTGTTAAAGACACTTGAGTCGTCTCATAGTCAAGTATAATAAATACTCTCATTAAAACAGTAGGATTCACACAACATGTAAAATCACTGACACATTACCTGTAGATTCTGGCATTCAAAGTGCTGCTCTCGCCTTTGATTGTCAGTGTGGGGTTTCTCATGCTGCCCTCAATCATGTCATAGCTACAATAGGCCAGTTCCAAAAATACTTATATTGAGGCCTCTATATTGTGTGCTTGTTGAGATTTGCCATTATCAGAAGGCAGAGTGGTTGTAATGCTGATGAGGTGAATGTGTGAAGGCTTATTTGGCTAATGTCTTTAGGAAAAGACTTAAATGTATTTAACACATAATATTCATTATGTCAAATACAGGACATTTTAAGTTAAGTTTTAAGTTAAATTTGATTAAGTCAGGTATTACAAATGTGGTTTGTTTTTTATCTATGACATAAGCTTCAGATGGGCCACTTAAATCCCTGTGATATGTCAAAACTATGAATGTAAACAGTCTTCATTTAGTGAAGATTCAGGTGATCTAAACTACAATAGCGCAAATGAGGCTTCTGGTGTGAGGCAGAATGGTGTGACAAGCAGCAAACCCGACTGTGATCCTGACTAGAGATAAACCGATATATAGGATGGCTGATATATTGGGCCTATATTTGCCCTGTTTAGTGTATGGGCTATTAGCCAGAAATCTCCAGTAGCCTAAATATGTATATAAATAAATATATGCATAAAGATTTGTTTGAACACTTGAATCCAAAATTTTTAAAATTTTTTGAAAGACCACAATGGATTCTAAACAGTTTGTAGTAAAAGGTTATTGATGACTTTGTATTAAATTTTTATTCAATAATTTTGGAAAAATGATCTATAACAGCCCAAAAATACTGGCAGAGGTCATGGGCCATTGGTTTCTCTGGATTCTAAACCATCAGTATCTGCATCAGCCATAAAAAAAAATGCATATCGGTCAATCTCTAATCCTGACTTCCAATATTGGAAACATGGCACCACAAAAGCATCACCTATCTTTGTTGAATAAATAAGCAGTAGAGATTTCTTCTTAAGCAAACAGTAACTCACTGACACTGCAGTGTAGTTCAGTCATGTTAAGGCTGATGAACAGGCTCTGGTTTAAATCTTCTATATCGCTACAGTACAGAAACAGAGCACCCACCAGGATCAAAACAACACCAACACCAAGGCAGCAGTAGGGCTTTTAAGGCAGCTGTCCCGTCAGATTGAACACACCAAACATAATAAGGTGAGCATGGTGTCTGCCTGCTTCTTATTCTGCATGTCTTTGTCCATCCAGTTGTGTCTTTAATTTAGCTTAGTCTGTTGATTGATTTGTGCCAACATACTTTATTTAGGTGGTATAACCACTAATGGAGGGCCTCTTCTTGGTCTCCACATCAGAACCTGTGCATCATTAGCATTGGGTCGTCCCATGGCATTGGGAGGTATGGCCTCCATTCGGGTGAGTACCCGGGGCTGGTCTTGATGTACCCTGCCTACCAGGTGGGCTCTGGAGCCCAAAGGCAGACAGGGATCTACAACAATGTCAACTCTCATCCTCCACTTTATGGTGTGGAGCAAGATCTTCTCCCTGGTTGTGGTGTTGAGTGCCACCAGCCATGTGGTAAAGCTCTGGTCCCTTTTGATGTTAGTCAATAAAGGTGTATTGGATTCACTTACTGGCACAGCCCAGGTGACACTTGGGTAGAAATTGTCATTCATGCTAACTATAAAGCGGGAGGGCTTGGAGGTAGGGCCAACTATAGTCACAGTCTCTGTTGTGTTTCCATACCAGGGGTAGCTCACACCATCCGAGTCACTGATGGCTCTCACCAGGCCGTCCCGTAGCTGGGGCAGCTCCCAACTCGACCTAAAGAGAAGCAGAATGGCATAATATCATACCTGATTATAAAATATTACAATGTGAGAAGGGAAATAAATATGGTCTGTCCTATTTTAAAATGCCTTTTATACAGCTTCATATTAATTTTGATTTAGCCTGTCGTCATCACAATAGATTATGGTAATTTTGAAACTTGTCATATATCTGTGCCTTATGATAGGAAGCATCATCTTGTCTCATGGTCTTTTCGGTAGATCGGATTATCACTGTGGTACAGAATGCTTGTGTCATGTGGTGCCTCTTTCCTGTGTATAGTGCAGACTCCCTAAACCTCTGCCTTCACCCCATGACATCAGCAGACACCCCTCACATGCGGACTGACGGTTTTTGGTGTGAAGAGGAGTATGTGTACAGTTGAGAACAGCAACTGCTGTTTAGCTCCTGAAAATAGTAGCTTTTCAATTTGGGTGGCAAAATCACAGGACCAAAATCTTTCGTTTGGCGTTTCATTGAGGCCAGTTAACCTACTGCGTGCCCAAATGCTCCTTATCGCATCGTACCGTGCAGTTTGTGTGAACCTGTTTGCCGGCATTACGCGCGCTCAGTATTAAGCCCCTTTTGACAGCGCACACCACAAACACGGCGCTGATGATTGCAAGTGGGTTCAGAGATGACAGTGTTGTCTACTCACATGCCTATATCTCCGTATACGTTGTAAAACTCCATCTGGGTGCACGCCTGGATCCACCCCACCACCCATGTCTCATTGCGAGGTACCGGGGGCATAATAATCCGCGCTGAAGCTTTAAAATATGGTGTCTTGTACCGCAATACTATCGGCGAGTTTTCCTCGATAACAGTGGGGCAATGGTCTATAGTGGCGGACAGGTCGTACACCACAATGTTTTCCCGTTTGATGCGGCTCTTGTTACACGCGATGCTCTGGATACACCCCATGTCTTGAAAAAGAGCAAGCGCCTGTCGAGCTTCAACGGCTCCAAAGCTGCCAACTGAACTTGACAGGCCCGGGAAAGACAACACACGGTGATGTGTGTGGGAAACCATAAGGCAATGGTGCGGGAGGCTACCACGCTGCAGGATTTCAGGGCTAAAATCAAAGTAAGACTTTATAAGAGGTGGCAGTAACACCACACAGTTTTTCAGTTACAATCGTCATATTGTGGATTTATGAATCCATGACTGTCGGTGCCTGGGTATGCTACCCCGTCCTCTGTGTCCCGACTTAACCTTTGAACCTCTTCTTTCTCCCTTTGGTATGCATATCAGAGGAGGAGACCAGGATAGCTGCTAGAGGTGTTGAAGCAAATAAGTTCCGGCTGCTTGCACCTGCTCAACCTGAGAGCCGGAGACGGGCTGGACCGTCATGCCTGTCGGCTCACACAGGGCGGTATACCCCGGTGAAAAACAGGCACATCACGAGCATCTGGAGCGCGACATCCTCTTGATAATGCCCCGGAAATCACACTTTTAATGCACAACGAGTCTAAAAGTGCCATAAGCCGCTAAAGCAAAATAAATCCTGAATGAGCTGAGCCGCACAGGTCTGCGAGCATCCTCGTGTGTGTCGCTGTTCAGCCTGCACGGTGCTGAAGATGCTGCACGGACCAATCACAGGCCGAGGAAGACACAGGCGCAGGATTGTCTGCTCGTAGCACCTCAGTGCAACCTCCTTCCACCATATTGCAATAATGCAGTCTAATCACTCGAATTCAAAGACATAATTACGCAGGTATTAATCTACTGTGCAATGGGTTAGCTAGAACAGGGATATTTGGTACTGTAACTTAAGTGTTCCAAAAAGTAGGAAACAAGTTGTGTAGGGGCATGTTGTGACACTGCAGTTTAGTTACTTAGTAGTTTTCCAAAAATAAAATAGCAGGTTTGTGTGTTTTGGATCTGCACTTCTGTCTTGAATATGAAGTAAATGATCTTGGTTTGTCTGAGATATCTCCAGAAAATGAGAAAAAGAATTAAAAGCACACGCAATTTACCTACGCTTAATTTGCCTAACCTTCCAAAAGTGTAACTGAAACGACTATGTGTGAGCACTAACACAATTTACAGGATTTGATGGGAATGGCTGTTCTTTATGCTCTGGCCTCAAACAGAGACCACTTTAGGAACTTTAGGTGTCCCATCTAATTTTAAAGTGATTACTTCTATAAAATTGTTTGTAAAAACAATCATTGTATATTCTGTCTTTAAACCACTGATAAAATGAGTGTTTAAACCCACACAAACCTCTTGGGTCATTAGGCCCGATGCAGGAAAGGGTCCCTCAAAAAGTCTGTAATGTGCATTTGTCATTTGAACAAGTATAGATGTTTTTGGGATCAGGGCCCATAAATTTCAACTACATTTTTTCTTAATAATGTTATCTAGCCTATCACAAAGCCTATAAGTAAACAAACAAATCTGTGAGATTTACAATTACAGTTTATCACATACATGCTCAGACATTTGTACTTAATCAAATGAAATGACAACGAGTATCATGAAACACAATGCATTGCGCACTGCAGCGTGTAGCCTGCCGGAAACTATTAGAAGAAGAAGAAGAAGAAGAAGAAGAAGAAGAAGAAGAAGAAGAAGAAAAAGAAGAAGAAGAAGAAGAAGAAGAAGAAACACAATGCAACGTCGTGAGCTCCTCTAATTCTGATTTTATTCGACGCCTTTGTGATCACGTGGCTACAACACTTCCGGGTAGATGAGCGTGCTGTTGTCGTGGATTCATAAACAAAACCGAAATATTTGTAAAATGTGTCATTTATAGCATCGACAGGAGTAATAACAGGAGAAATGGTAGGACTAAGAGGCTTTACTGATTTTCATGGGCAGTCTGAAAAGAAAACTGAATTTGTATTTCAAAGGCTACGTTTGGCTAAAAGCTAAGTGGAGCTAAAGCTAATGCTAACCTTTTGCTTCTGTTGGGAGTTTCTTGTCTGATGATGAGGCATATGTAAATACTCTTTTTATGATGCGATTAATGCGCTGTTTAATTATTCATACATATCAGTCTGTGTGCATGTAATATGTAACTATGGTTGAAGTTTTTTAATTTCTCTAATGATTTTCCTAGGTCCCTTCAGATTTTAAAGCCTTGATCCAGAGGTTTTATCACCTTCAGGCTGAACGGGTGGAGACATATCGGCTGTTTGAAGAGTAAGTTAAAAATAGCAAAACAATAAAAAGAAAGAGCAGCTTAAACATACAGCTGTGACTTGGGCACTGACTATAAAATCACTTTACGGTACACAGTGTTCACGTTTGTGTTTTGTTGCTGTCTGCCTTCTTTCCAGAGGACATGAAGCATACTTGAGGACAGGACCTCAATATGACTTTGACCACTACAAGCAGCTGGTGCATGAGATAACCCAGGCTTTTAACGGCATCTCAAAGGAAGTACTGGTGATCAAGGGAAAGTTGCACCATGACTTTGACCGGCCAGATCTCTCCGAGCACATTGAAAAGCTGCAAAGTAAAGAGAAGGAGAAGCTTGAACTTGTGAGTGTATTTTTACAGACAGTAGGGAGGACAAACAAGAAGCAGCTGCACTCCATCTTTCCAACTTAGGCATAGCATTTAAAGATTACATTAGGGCAGCACAATATATCACAATTATTTAGATAAAAGAACGCCCTCTATTGGCCGTCTGACACCTGTAATTGCTGCAGGGTCCAGGGGTCATCTTGTTTTCCATGTGTCTTTGTAATGACATTTGTTGTAATTATTCCCAATTATGTAAGTCTTGTTTGTAGATGTAGTTTTTTTTCCCTTTTAGATTAAAAATTCCAGTATTATAGTTGACCACTAGGGGGTAGTGTTTGGTTCAAAAATAGCCTAATAAATAGTCAGAATTTGACTTTTACAGTACACTGTGTTAGGAATACAATTTTGTGTAATATTTCATAGGTCAAAACAGGATTTCCCTCTTCTCTGAATTGTTTAAACTCTTGACCCTCTCAGGGCAACAATTCAAAGTATCTGAAATCTGCCCATGTCTCCATCTGGTACCTTGTGTCAATGTGTTCCACTAGTATTTTTACACTGCTCCATTATATAAACTCTGGTCTTTCTTTGTGACTGGTTAAAAAGATTTTATTGTTGCACTCGCAGTTTATTATCAGTCTCTCCCAGATTCAATGACTGGTTTCCATAAATCAAATGTGATGTGCCTCTTCTGCAGACAGCCAAACTGCAGCTGGCCAGACAGTGTGCCCAGGATCATCCAGAGGACGAGGAGGGTCAGATAAAGATTCAAGAACTCAAGCACAAGTAAGAACTGATACATAACATAGTGGTATAGTTACGGCAACTTTCACTCCCCACTGACTACTTCTACCTATGAAGCTATATAATTTCTCATAATATTAAAATCTTTCATTAAAGAACCTTTATAATTGAAACAAATTACATTAATTAAATTATGTGTACTATGAGTAGTATTTAAATGAATGAGCATGAAAAAAAAAAATAGGACCTGATTTAATGATATACGTTCACTGTCTTTTTTTTTTTTAATTGTTTAGAATCATCAAGAACAAAGAAGCTTTGAGCGAGATCATGCAGGACTTTAAGTACGACTCGGAGGAGGGTGATTGACACTTGTGGGCCTCTTGGGAGAGGTAAAGCTAGCGCCCACAGCACAGACCCAGGGCGGACGCTGACTGCTGCAACTTCAGCCTCTCAGCTGCACTTATTGATCTCCCTTTGGGCTCCACCCTGTTCACTGCTGCAGTCTCATCTGCCCAAGGGCCTTTTACACAGTTTTTATGTGTGGAGTTTATCTTGACTTGAGTTTGTGCAAATGGACATTGTAAATATAGAAATTATAAGGACCTTTACTGTCACACTTTTTTTAATAAACAAAATTCAGAAAAATAGCTTTCCATTTATATTGTGCAATACATTTCACATTAAAATAATATAACTTATAGCTGTCCATGTTTATGTTGTTTGTAGACTGGTGATTGAATACTATTAATATAAGCAGCATTTTACATTTCACTATATGTTAACATACATATTTTTTTAGTACATCACAGAATGTGTGTTGCTCATACTGTAGTGGTCCTTAAAGTTGTGCAGTCACAGAGGAGCTGTGAAAGTGTTTGAAGTAACCATCAGAAAAATGCTGCATTGTCTCCTCCGTTATCCTCCACTTGGGTCCTTTAAAGTGAAGTTAAGGCGCTTAGGCCAAAGACTGCGGTATGCCTGAGCCGGCGTTGGACCTCTCACGCAGCTGGGACTCTGGGGGCCTGTTAGCTGTCAGTGTTGCTCGATGCTGGTCTTGAGTTAAACACAGCTGTGCTATGAATTATCGTCGTGTAGAATCTAAAGAGGCGAGAGCAGATGTTTTATACTGGGACAATTAAACAAGGCAGTAATTTATATCCTCAACTGTAATAATATTAAGTGTTATTTCATATCTACAGAAAAGTAGTAGCATGAAGGAGTGAAATACTATATTGTAGTTAGCTTCGACATTTACATTTAATTTAATTTTATTTATATATTTATTGAGATTTATGTCGATAAATTAAAAAGCCTAACTTTATATCTTAAACCTGCCACAATGCTTATGTGGTTTACTAAAAAGTGGGTTGCTGGAGAGAGAGATCCTGAGGATGTCAGGGTGGCTTCAGTGAGGTCAAGGTTTTAACTCCAAATTCACATACATGTGCTCAGTTATTTTCGTGAAAGGGTCTATATGCCAAGAAAACTGAACAGAAACTCATGTAGCAGACTCATTACATTACTTCATATTGTTTGCTGTGGTAAAAAGAGAACATGGTAAAAATCAATATAAACTTCTCTGCCTCTTCTTTTAGGCCAGTGAAGTCAAAACCACACATTTAAACTGATAAGAAAATACAGACTGAAACTACACAGACGGTCTATATGAGCGAATGTCTTCTTTTGTTTTTAAAAATGAAACCACAAGGCTTAACGAAGCAAGGTCACAAATTCAGCTCAAGGCAGCCATGTAAATGCTCATTCGCCTGGTTCCAGTAGTGTACGTTCCATTATGATATATTGTTTTTTTCTTAGAATTTTCCCTAATTGATTTTCCTCTACATATCATCAACATAGCTTGCAGTAATTTGCACATTGTTCTTTCTGAAGCCCTTTCTGATGCCCCCTTCTCTACCTCACTCAAAGCCAAACTGTAAATGTTGTAGTTAATAAGGATAGTGCTTACCTACCTGGTTGCCTGTTTTATGAGACTTCTGGACCCACACTCTCCACTGGTCATACAGTTTGATGGACATGCCGCTGCAGCCGTAGGCGTGTTTACGGACCCAGCCGAAAAACTGCTTCAGTTCTTTGCGCAGAGTGGCGTTCTGGTCACCTGGTTTAGGATCACAGGAGGCCGTATACAGCCGCTCTGGAGAAGAGAGGGATTAGCAAACGTGTGAAGGTGAGACAAAGAGAAAATGTGAGCGGCATGAATATGCTCAGGACCATACACAAATTAACACAATACAGTCAAATTATCTGCTCTTGTTTTTTGTGGGTACTACTGTGGTGAATAGTCATTTTTGTTATTCTCTTATAGCTTGTTAAAACTTTTTAATAATTTTAAATAATGGCAATGCAACAAAAAATACAAATACAAAACAAGTCAAGTCTAGTTGTGATTATAGGTAAACATAACACCCAGAAAAGATACTAAACAGGCAAAATAAAACTTTCAGAATAGATGAATGAATAAGATGAGAAGACTACTGAATGCAGTAAGTCCGCCACAGTAAATTGTCTAAGGCACACAACAGATCCTGATAATGACTTCCTCCCTCTGAGAGTAAATACCACATAACCCATGTAACTCATTATCTGCTGCTCTTGGTCACAAACCTGCTTCCACTCAGTCTTTATAGACCAGCTTATGTTGCAGACAGACAAGCAGCTTTTTAACTTGATCAATGTTTGTTTTGTTAAAAAAAATCTAACAAATGTCCTCACGGCTGCCTGCAGTTGCCTCTGATCCCCGGCTCTGAGATCTCTATCAAAGTATGATGCCAATTTTACCATGGCTCCTCTTGGGTCACATACGGTTTGCATCTTTGGAGTCAGGATGTTAAAGCACAGATAAGCACATTGTTTTCTTGTTTTAATTGTGTTGGAAATCTTCATTAGTAGAACAGAGGCACAAATTAAATTGTAAGAATGTTTCAGATGTTTGCAAAATAAGACATTTCCAACATTGGTACACACCATTGTTGGGAGTAGAGGCTGCTGTTGGGTGGCTCCAGTCACTCCAAATGCCTGGTTTTCTGGACCCATAGATGCCCACAGGTCGGCACCGAACCTGCACGAAATACACTGTCCCAGGGTAGAGCCCTGCCAGGCGACATGACGTCTGGTTACCAATATCATCCACAATCTGAGAGAGGAATAGGAACAAAGTGAAAAAGAATTTGATTATTTTTTGTCACAGTCAGGATAAATACAAATCTGTGTGAAAAGGGACATAAATTAGCAATGCAGGACATCCCTCAGGGGTCCACTCTACTGGAATATGAGTGCTCATTTTCATACTTACCTTGGAACAATAGGTAACTACTCTATTTGCATGCAAGGGTTTGGGTGAATTTTTAAATTTTACATCATCAAAACACTGAGGCATTAAATGACAAAATCTGTCTAGTACATTGTCTAGTACATTTCAGAGGTACTATGTTTCAGACTTTTTATTGAACAATCACCAGCAGCAGATTTTGCACAAGAAGCTTTTACTTAAATCACACAAAAGATTGAATAAATGCATGAAGGGCAAGTTCTCTAGTTTGATTGTGCTGCGCCTCAGATATTTCCGCCACAACCTCAGAATTGTCATAACTACAGTGTGTATGTGTCTGTGTGTGTGAGTGTATGTGTATGTGTGCATATGTGTGTCTATTTATGCTGTTCCCCTTGTAGAACTGTACCTTCCACTCAGAGCTGTCCTCCAGCCTGTAGCGGATCTGATATTTGGCCTGAAATAGGATGTCCTTCAGGTCAGGGGGGCTGGCCCATCGGACTGTGAGTTGGTCGTCCAGGTCTCCCACTCGACTTACCTGGACATTGGCTGGAGGGTCTGTGGTCACTGGACATACAGGACATAGTTAAATGTGTGTAATCTAGGACTGTGTTTCTCAACATTCTATCATTTCTAATCATCAATTATATTATGAGTGTTTTAACAGCCATTCCTCTGTCAGTAAAAGTGTAATTCATATTTTGGCCGAAAAAATTTGACATGTTTTTGGTAAAACAGCATTGATTAAAAGTGTTTATTGTATAAGTTCAGGAAATTACATTCAGTCATTCAGTCAATATCACTTAATTTGTCCCCGAATGGCAATTTTTGTTTTTTAACAGCTCAGTGTGCTTACACTGAGCTGTAAAATACAGTAATAATAGAAAAACTCAAACATAGGTCTCAAAAGTGCAGCCTAACAGGTCATCAGATCCAGTGTAAGGAGAGTAACAGCCCTTAGGACAAAAAAAGTGTCCCTCCTCTGTGTCCTGTAACCCAAGCATCACATTCAGCCTCTAGGGGGAGCCAGGTGGAGACACAACACCTATATCTAAAATAATATAGTATATATACTAAATAACTTATAAAACATTGACTGATAGTATGAATGTGAACTACTCAAACTACTATTCTTATAATGTGCACACCCTAAAATGTGTGAACTGTTTTTTAGGAAGGTTCTGGTAGTACCCAGCTGTTAAACTGCAGACTACTGGCTTTGTAAAGGCTTAGTCAGTGGTTCCTGTTCAACTTCTCCTTCAGTCAGTGAAAAATACCATTTTTACCTTCTGCTATAAAATCTGCACACACATCAGCACAGCCAACGAAATACAAGATGCCACAAGAAATGAGAGAAGAAAGAGAACTATGAAAATGTCTTGTAAAAATGGTTCCTGTTTGTACAACAAGGACATCCTCAAGAATTACCCTGTGTTTAAAGAAGAAAGCTATTTAAATTATAAGGGAGTATAAATGCTACTATTTGTTATTTAACTACAGTACTTAAAGATAGACTCCTGTAATTAATAGGAATGTAACAATATCCAAATCTCATTTATTGTGATAGGAAAAGACTGTGGCTAAATACTGTCTTTCACTAAAATGGCCTAATGAGCCTTTAAAGGGCCGTTCACGCCAAGGCGTCAAAGCGTCCAGTTTCAATGTAAAGTCTATGTGGACGCGCGACTAGAGCGTCCTGCGTTTTTGCGGCGCGTTTTCGGCGTCAGCGCGGCGCGTCTTGAGCGTTTTGGCGTCAGCGGCCAAGACGCGCGTCCGAAGCGGCAGCGTCAAGAAGTTGAAAATGCTGAACTTTTCGCGTCAGACGCGCCGCGTCAACCAATCAGGGACGAGTATCCAGTGACGCAGCGACGTTATTATCAGGAAGCAAGACCCGAGAACCAGAACGAGAACCACAAACATGAGCGGAGAATAAATATACACACCACAATCACCGAGCCGATCGCGAGGAGTACACCAGGACCGGACCAGGACTAAACCAGGACTAGACCGGGACTAAACAAGGACTAGACCGGGAGTAGACCGAGACTGGACCGAGACTAGACCGGGACCAAACCAGGACTAGACCGAGACTAGACCGGGAGTAGACCGTGATTAGACCAGGACTAGACCGGTATTCGACCAGGACTAGACCGGGACTGATTCAGTGTCATTAGCGGAGTATAAATATATATAAGCCCCAGTCGTCGACCCGATCTCCTCCGCTGATGTTTTATGTCATAAAAACACTCTCTCAGTCTGGTCTGATATTGTTTCGGGAAAAGACCGGGACCGGGCTCTTGTTTCCAGGGCAACGGACGCGCGTCAAGTATTTTTGTCCCGTTTGTTCACGGCGTCAAAGACGCGCGTCGGGGGCGTCTAAACTCAAATGCAAACGCGTCCAAATAGAGGCGTCAAGGCGTCGACGCCAGATTCGCGCCGCGCTGACGCCGAAAACGCGCCGCAAAAACGCAGGACGCTCTAGTCGCGCGTCCACATAGACTTTACATAGAAAGTGGACGCTTTGACGCTTTGGTCTGAACGGGCCTTTAGTGTTATTACTGCCATATTAAATGGTTAATATTGTTTAGTGTTTACTAGCAGGAATTTCCTGTAAGCTGCACCAAAAAACATGTTCTATGTTGCTAACTAGGGCTGAAAAATGTATCAGATTTTAAACACAGGGACATCATTTCAGATTTGCAATGATATGTTTGTGCATTTTTATTTGAGAGGTCAATCCTCCTTTAGTAGTTTTACTGTGTTAACAATTTTGTTTGTCTAATTAATATTCTTAAAATAAACACTGGAAGCCATATTCATGGGTTTTTAATAAGAGAATATATGATCAAATCGAAAATCACCCGGCTCTGCTTTGTGCACAATGTTTTTACAGTGTTACAGTTATAGTTACATTCCTATTAATTATAAGGCATTATTGCATGCAGATTGTCTCTTGTAAACAGAGAAAATAACAAATTGTTTTTTTGATAGATATATTCATCTTTATATTTGATTAGACAAAATGTAAGAGTCTGCAATTATCAAAGTAGTAAGCATTCACAACATGTTTGCCACAGGATAGCAATGAAAATAAATTTTACAAATCATTTTTTAAATTTAGTTTTCTCACCTACGTCCAAGATGTCCAAAGTGGTGATATCAGAAATGGAGGAACCAAGCAGATTGGCTGCTTCTACCCAAATCTCATATGGAGTGAAGAGGGCAGGGTTACGAGGAATGTAGCAGGAATATCGCTGTTTTCCTGTTCTGTAATTACCACACTCTTCTTCTCTCTCATACCACCTGGACACAAGAAAAAATAAATCCCTACCAAAGTCCTTATGTATTACGTTACATCTTCTATGTACCAATATTGACCAAAATGAATGAAAACTGTGTTGGTGTGGTAGATACTAAACTAAATGTAGCATATTAGCTTCTTAGTGTACCTGCATAGTGTTGGACGCGGTGATCCCGGTCTGGGCGCTCACCTCAGTTTGTACTTGAGGGTGTACTTGGTTCGGATGTGGGTCTCACCCCTCCCCCCAGGGCTCCACTTGCAGCTCAGGTCTTTAGCGTTTCTGGACCAACATGTCAAATTCACTGGCTTTTCTGGGGGCACTGTCGGGGGAAACAAGAATGAAAACAGCTTCACAACAACACGGCCGAAATATAAGACCTTTTAGAAATATGTTTTCATTTCATGTGAACCTCAATACCATTTAAATTATTAAGTGAAACTGACTCTTGTGAGCTTTAAGCCATGTTAGAATGTTGTTACCTCATTAAAAGCATATCTGGAGTTGCGCTGTCATGAAGTGGTAGTTCAGTAGATATTATGAATTCCAGGGATGTAATGATTAATGCAATTCCCGAATTACCACATGACATCACAAGATAGAACAGAGTGTTCAGAGAGAAAAACTCAGCCTAAATATGCAGGATTTGAGTGGTAAACGTGTGAATCAAACAAAACACAGCTTCAGGTATGTTTTTGATGAGGATACAACATTATAACATAAATCGGGAAAAAGTGTTATATGGGCCCTTTAAATATTCCTTCATGAATGTGTTTTTTAATATTACACATATACTGTAGCAAGGAATACATAATGTTGTAGAAAATCCAGAGTAGTCCCATATACTATATACTAAATGAATAAAACAGTTAAAATTATTCACATATGGACATATATGGAGCTAGTATTCATACCATCATTAATAAATACCACTGTTTAAGCCTGGCTTGACCTAATACTTGAACGTCATTCTGTGATTTAAAATAACAATATATATTTTTTCCATGTTTTTTTTTTTTTTTTTCCAACGACAGTATCTGAGTTTCACAAAGCTCCTTCAAGCGTCACACTGAGGAGTTTTGTTCATAATAGGTGAGGGCAATATTGCAAAATGAGAAACTTTTATGGCAAAGGTTTATGGCAATTCAGAGTTTATTATGGCAATCCATCAGAAATGTGCTAAAATGTGCCAGTAAATGTCTTGGGTTGAGTATTATTAACCAAAAAAGAGTGAAAAATTACTTCATACCTGCACCAAATTCACTTTATTTTTATATTTTTAATCCCATTTTGTTTTCAATTGTTTTCAATACTCAGTACAAATTTACATACCTCGAGAACATCCATTTTGATATTATAAATGTTTCAATATGTTCCACACCTAACTAGACAGGATATCTTGGTGTTTTACTGTAGTTCACCTGTATTTTTTGTACATCTGTTTCTTCTGTTTTTATTGTTTTTTATGTGAAGCACTTTGGTCAGCTGAAGTACTTTTAAATGTGCTATATACATAAACTTGAATTGAACACCTGTACTTCATATAACACTTACTGCCCACGTAGAGACAGGACCCGGCCAGGATGTGCCCGTCTGCTCCATGACACATCAGGTTGTCTCCAGACTGCTGCCTGGAGCCGTTCAGGTTTTGGAGGGTGACGCTGAGAGAGTCGGGGGTGAGCACACTGTAGGCGCTGCTAGGCACACGCGCTCCGTTCAGTGTCCAGTACAGAGAGCCAGCATGGAGGTTCACCGCCGGACTTAGGGTGCAAGTGGCTGTGAGAGAGGAGCCCATCAACAGCACAGGATCCTGAGGGGAGATGACTGCAATGTCTGATAACAAAGACACACATTAAAACCAATACACTTTTAGACTTTTTGTCTATAACTGTCTGTCCATACAATAACCATTTGCTCTTGATTTAATATTATATCATATCAATAATACAATTAAATGGCATGAATCATACTTTTGCTTTAATGTAGAAAAATCTTTAAAATATTTGAAATATTTTCAGCGTGAATAGAATTTACATTGATATTCATGATTATTGCTCTAATTAATAAGACAGAACATAAAATCACATGTTCAGTGTGCTCATAGTTGTTTCCTTGAGTGGAAATACAGATTGTCCCTTTCCAATTTTAGAGTGTGTTGGCAAAAGTCTATTTCAGTAAGATACATCACCTTCACCTACTTTGATTTCATCAGTTCATTTTCTTCATTTTAGGTGCACTAATGCCCCAGTAGATAACTGTGATTTCAATTATGATTTAAATAATAATGATTATTATTATTTGATTATCACACAGTCCTAGTTTGCAGTCAGCCAGCAGCAGAATGCTGTGCATATTTATGACCTTGTAATGAAGGGATTTATGATGGTCCAGGAGAATCCCCCAAAAGGTCAGTGCAGTCTGTCAGTTGCGTCTTTGAATGTTTTTCCATTCAGTGACCTGCCTTGGGTCTGTCCTGTCAGTTTGAGTTTATGATTGATGCTTTTGGGAACACTCTCAGTGTGTCTGAATGTTACCAGTGGACAGTTTCACACTTATACACAGGTTAATGTGTGAGGTTTATGATCTGTTTGCAGGTGGGCGCCAGCAAGTAATTTAACACATGCACCACAACAGCTTCGAAGTGCCTTATGGATGAGGGCTGTCATGCTCATATTATAAATGACCATGATAATGTCCAAAGTATTGTTAGCATAAAAGAAACATGTTATATTTTCTTTAATAGCAGGAATATTGGCTAGTAATTGTTTGTGAGTCTACCTTCATGCAACATTGCTAATGAACAGTGTTCATTTTCATTAGTCTCATTAGTTATAATATTTCAATGATTAACAGTCCTTGTTCACTGTCATTATCCTCCAGGAGCATGACAGCACATGTAATAACTGCCGCAAATCAAATCAGAAATATATTTTGGTATTGCAGTGTAATAGTTGATATTTGTTAGTCTTTGGCACTACTTCATAATAAATGGCTGCCATGTGTGTATTTTCCCCCTTTACATTGTGTTGTAGGCTATACTATCCTTTAGAAACTTTGACCAACAAAGTCCCTGAGGAGCACAGTTACACACCTATGATAATTATTAAAGGTGCGGTGTTTTGATTTAGAAGAAGCCAAGGAAACTTTTGTGGTTTCTTTGATCAACAAGAGACATAAATAATGATTAATTTGAGATGTAGCCTATTGATAAGAGACGTTTGCAAGATCTTGCCCTAAAGTGGATCATGGCATTAATGTTGACAGTGAAAAAGCACAGAAACAGAACATAGGCTCTATCCAAAAAACTTCAAAGACCAGTAGGCTACTTACGTGTCGAGCAGAGTAACCCATGTGGAGCGAGTAGGAGGAGAAAGTAGTAGCAAAGCATGGTAAAGTTACGCTCTGGTTTTCGACTGTCCTGTACGATTGTAGTCCTGGCGCGAGGAAGGGGGACCCCGAGTGAGAGACGCAGCGGTACTTCCTGTTTTCAGATCACATTTGCTCCGTTGAGAAAGTTGGGAGTCTCGAAGCTAAAAGCAGGCTGTACTTTGTGGAAACACGAGAAGTTACGGGTCCATTTAAACTCCCAAAGTGGTTGTGCGGCAGACCCAGCGCTCAGGTTAATGCTGTTTGCTCCTCCCTTGTTTTTTCTCTCAGTCTCAAGTGATTAGTGCTCAATACTGTCCCTCCCAGACACACTCCCACAACACGTACATATAGGCAAAAATAATGGCTCAGTGTATTATACGAAATTAGCATACATCACAAACAAACTGGTGAACAGAAAATACCCTTGAAGAAAATTTTTTGTCTGTAGTCCGAGGGTCCCAATGATCCAGAGGCCCTAAAGCCAAAAGCACTAGGCTCTCCTTGATTTATAGTTTCCTTTTACAAAGATACAAACCAAAGGAAACAGTCTTCTTAAATTGCCTATTATTCATTATCCGTGCACATGTATGTGGGCCCCATGTTTCTCTTATGAGAGACATTTTTAAGATATTCCTTGTGCTTTAATCCCTGACAGGGACAGTGCACCGCAGTGGAGGCTCATTTGCGGTTGTGTACTTTTGGAGGGGCAGCGTGCGTGATGATGATGGTGACGCCACGGCCCGCCGCTCATCAGTGGCACGAGCAGGAGGCGAGCTGAGGCAGCAGCATCCGCAGCAGCAGCGCCAGAGCCGCCACAAAGGGAGCTCAGTGTTGCTACGATCTCGACTCTCCGCGCTTCTCTCCTCGGCTTTGGGCTCCTTCTAGGCGGAAACATGCGCTGCTTCTCGGCACTGCTTTCCTTGCTCCTCGCTGCACTCGCAGCTGAGTCCTCGGATCTTTTTGACAACCAACTCGGCGACATCAATTACTGCAAAAAGCAATGCCAGTTGACCATCAAAAACAAAAGCCCAGCTAAAGTAAGTTATTCCAGTTTCTTCCTGGCTATCGCGTAACCTCACTGCAGAGAACGCATTACAAGCACCCACTACAACTGCATCTCAACCTCAGCGCTTAGCCTAGGCTATATTAGGCGAACTATATCAACGAAACATTGTATGCTACAATATGTCAGGCTTTTCTACATTGTAGATTTCATGTATTCACATAGGCCTACTACATCTGTGTACATTATGTGCGTAATAACGGTGCCTCTGCAGCCTCCCGTCTGTCTCCGCATCTTAGGGATGCTATAACACGCACAGGCCGTAAATGGATGCAGATTATTTTTTATTCACCTTTAACATGCTAGTTTGTAGTATTGGCTTTAATCCTGCTCCAATTCTTTTTTGATATGACAGTCAATACACCCTCGACCAAGCCCTTAGTGAGCTTTGGGCCACCACTTTTCAGAAATTCATGTTTTTTCTTCTTCCGTACACAAGGCCATGGCAGCATCTGTGTTAGGTCTCAATGAGGTTTTGAGGCACCTTGTCATTTGTGTGACTTCAGGTGTGGTTCAGACATCTTGCAGGAGCAGGAGCTGCATAGGCCCTGTCACCTGCTGTTTCACACTGGAGCTGCGCTGGAACTGAAATAGATGGTCTGTCAAATGTCAAAGACAAAGGGTGCAATTTCTGGATTTGAAATAATCATGAGTTTTGGCCCTTTGTTTATAAAGAAGAAAACCGCGATGACGATGTTGACAGGCACAATTATGGACCCTTCACGGTCGAGAATTTCTTTGTCTAGTCTATTTCTAAAACAACCACCAGAGGGTGCAATTTCTTCACATTGCAAATACAGAAATTAGACATAGTCATTGGATCAATGACCTATCCACATAGGCTACTTTGTATTTCTCGTGGGCGCAAACTTGAATCCATTGTGTGAGTGCGTAATGTGTAAATCCTGTATATTATTACCTGTCCAATTTCAAAACATCCACAACACTCCAAAAGTACACAGGTCTGTCCATCCAAAAGCCTATAGGACATGTCTAATGCCAACATCCCCTGTCCTGTTTGTTCATCTGTATGGTGTGACTGGGTGCTGTAGGACTCCATAATGAACGCCTGTCACCGTGGATGTCGTCTCTACTCCATCTGCCAGTTTGTCAATGGCAACGCTGGCTTCAATACCAGCAAGGAGGAGTGTCAGGGAGGTGAGTCTGTTATAGAGGTGAGTTTTCTGTTATAGTGAACAAAGGGGGTGAACTGTGAAAGAACTTCTAAGGGCCTATAGCACCTTTTTGTAATTTTTGTATTTTTATTCAAGTTTCCTCAAATTTTGTTTTATCACACAATTATTTATTTTCTTAATATTTCATGTATATATCAACTTTACACACCCTGGTTTGAGAACAAATGAAACCCTTTACTCTTTGTTTTTGCTGCTGTCAGTGAAGGTGGCAGACTCAGGAAGTATTTTCTGGCAGTTTCGTCTGTTAGACTGCTGAATTGGAAATCAATGATGTGATTTGCTGTCCAGACAGCAGATGCCCCATTGCCCCCTGTTTCTCAAGTGCTAACGCCTTGTAAATCACATTTGTAGGGCCAGTCTGTCTTTATATCTATCACATAAAAAGCTTGTTCGTATTCTGCCTGCATACGCCTTTTACTGTGAAACCTCATCTCATAAATTACTATGCATTATCTCTCTTATTTACATAGTTTTGCTTGTGTCTCCTCTGCAGCGTGCCAGGAGGCCTACATGAAACTGCTGGAGCAGGAGGCCTGCACCACAGGCTGCTCCAGTCAGCCCTCTGAACCAGAGATCCAGAGGAGGAAGGTGAAGGACACTCTCACAGACATACAATATAGTGAAACATATTTAACAGTGATACTATGGAGATAGATAGAATTAGAATTAGAATAGATTAGAAGAAGTATTGCTTACTTCAACAACAACAACAACATGTGTATATATTTTTTTCAATCTGAGAGCAAGATTTATCACAAACTATATTTTTTATCTATTTACCTAAGAACACTTAGTCAGCACACATAAAATAATTAGAATTCAACTGTCCTACTCCCCACAGCTGAAGGCCATGACCCTGCGCCCCAAGGCCCCCTCGGTGATGGAGGCTGTATCCAGTTGGTGCAATGACATCGTCAGCTCAGCCCAGAGCTTCATCTCCTCCACTTGGACCTTCTACCTGCAGGCGGACGATGGCAAAGTTGTAGTGTTCCAGGTACAATATTGCTTTGGTTGTCCGTATACTGTATGTTTTCCACCATTATTGTTTGGATGTCTGCAGTCATAAGTAGTCCTATGCGTATGAAGTGTGGCTGTTGTTATCATCTCACAGGCTTAGACATTGAAGATTGAATGAATAAACACAATACAGCAAAATGGTCAGTAAAACATAACTTTGGTCTGGATTCGAATAGGTTATATTGTTTGTGTGAGCCTATTTTTAGGACATTTTCTTGTATGTCAAAGCCTAAGCTTGAACACGTTAATATTTTGTCTCCATGTAGGCTAAGTATTTTCATTTGGCAATTAACAATCAACTGTCTAACTGCTCTATCTACTTTATCCTGTTTTTCAAAAACAAAACCAGACGTGTTTAATTGTCAGAGGCTTTTTCCTGTTTGCATTCTGTGACTATTTGGTAAATTTAGCTTCATAATTAAAGGCCTCTATGGGAAATTATAGTCTTTGTGCACCGTAGTCCATACAAAAGGCCCTACTGTCGACAAGAACAGTGCCTATGTACGCTGAGATTTATTACAAGATATAAGCAGCAGTATTCAGGCTGGGAAACCTCAGATGCCGCCGCCACAGAACATGAAATTAGTAACATTTCAGTTGGAGTAATAGATGAGTGCTCTTTTTAGCAGTGACAGGCAGACTGAGGCAGAGTGCAGTAAAGTTTATTGGTTACTTCTACTAAGTTTTTATATATATATATATATATATATATATATATATATATATATATATATATATATATATATATATATATATATATATATATATATATATATATATATATATATATATATATATATATATATATATATATATATATATATATATATATATATATATATATATATATATATATATATATATATATATATATATATATATATATATATATATATATTTATTTCATACCTTGGTTTAGGCACTGCACTATTGTTTTGGTTTTGTATATTGAGGGAGAACTGTAAATAATTTACCTCTATGTTCAAATCTCATAGTATAGGTTTGGGAATAGTACTATAGTATGTTGGGTTATTACCATGCATTATTTTGTCTGTATCCAAAATACAATATTATTTCTACATCCTTATTCATTATTTTCAAGGTCACACATGTCACCCCCTTCCTAATGAATGTCATTAATGGGCTGAGACAGAAGGTGGTTGTTCTGGCAGGTTTTCATTATCAGGATTCTGCTCAAGTTCAATAAAAATGATACAAATAATAACCAATCTATAACAGCCATTCAGAATTAATTTTAGCTCATGAATGAGATAGAGTAACAATGAGGACAAAGGTCATTTGATTAAATACTTCTTGGTAGTGAGCCATGGTGTGTTGAGGTCATTATATTTGCTGTAACAGTGCACAAGTTAGTTTCCTCAACCCATTTCATCTTGCATTTGTCAATTTGGCAGAGTGGATTTGAAAGGAACAAAATGAATGTGTGTGTGAACAGAAGAGAAACAGAACAAAACGCTCTGGTGGTGATTTGTCAGATTTTGTTAAAGGAGCGTGAAGCCGACTTCTAAATGAGACGTCATGTTTTCTCACCTCTGGAGAGTCAATGTGCTGCACCCACACGTGACGCACTTCAGGGCTGTAAGATGTTTCGCACATGCACAAAACATCATGACAGTGAAGTTACTGAGGTAAACAGACGCCTGAATATTTGGGCTAATGAAACACTTCTATCCATCTTTTTTCTCTGATGTTATTTCTAACATGAGCTGTCCTGATGTGCTCATCCCTAATCCTGTATCCATCAATCCCACTGTCAAACAGAATCTTCAAACCTTTTAGTCCTGTTAACTTCCACTCTATCCACCGATGTATTGTCAATGCCACAGTTCCTAAACCATTTCCTACGGTTTAAAGTTCAAAATTTTTTGTTAGATCTTTTTCTGTTTGTTTGTTTGTTTGCTTTTTCACAGTGTTTTGAGTGCGAGCAGCATGAAATGGGCATTGATATAAAGAAATGCCAAACTTCTTGACTATAGTGTTGTACAATACTTAATTTTTAATTTTCATTTGCAAACAGCAGGAGGTATAATTTACAAACTTCATTTGGCTTCAGACTTACTTTACTAGGCCCAATATATTGGAATAAAAACACAAACCAGTAACATAATTTTAATTGTCTTCCTTCCTCAACCCATTTTAGCAGTTCTGAACTGCATAAACCCTCCTCCGCTCTAAAGCAGAGCACCTTTTACATCCCCTTTGGTAATGCTTAGCAGATGCAGCCCGGACTTCACTCGTTCTGATGGTTAGATCCTGTCAGGGTTCAACCAATCAGAAGCCTCCCCCCTCATATGTGCCCTCTTCCCCAAAACCTTCACACTGGTGCGGCATCTGGTTTTAATGCACTCTGTCAGAAAACATTGCACACTAGGGGTAATAAAGGCCATTGTGAAATAACTTTTTCGACTATGGAGGTTTGTAGAATTTGAAACAGGAATAGGGCCAGTCACATTCCCTCTGTACCTTACTCCAGAGAAATATTTTTTGTGTCTTTAATAGCAAAAGGTAAATGCTCATGTAAGGCATAGGGTGCAGTGTTGATCGACTGTAGTAATGTGTCATGTTGTATAAATGTGTGTTGCTGAGAACAGGGGGACCACTGCTGTGAGTGTTACTACTGTAGTGAAGGGAGGAGGCATCAGTGGGGAACCTAAATCCTCTTTTAATGAGTCCTTGTTGGAAACAGTGAGCTGTGGAGGACAGAACAACTATCCCACTTGAAAGCAATGTAACTTGTGCTAAACGTCAACAAAAAAGATTTTTAATCCTTTTGCATTTCAAACATGTTGTCCAATGTTAGTGTAATAACTGAGTACAGTATTCTTCAGTGTATAATCTACGCTCTATATATCAAAATGGTATTGCTCTTCACTCATGTTAATTCATTTATTATGGCTGTTGTTTATTTTCAGAGTCAGCCTGAGATGGAGTACACGGTCCCTGAACTTCAGGCCCCTCGCTCCAATGTGGCGGACAAACCCTGGCCCCAGGTCCACTCTCACACCCAGAGACCCCACGGTGACTGCCTCACTCCGACTGAATAATATGTATGTTTTATGAGGTCTTTGAAAACAAACCAAACTAAATGTTTTGGGACAGGTCTGAGGGGACACGGAGAGAAAGGAGCTCCTAAACCCGGAAAAGGGAAGCATCCAGTGCAGCACTCAGAGGACCCATCTGCTGAACATGACTTCCTTGGATGCATGTCGAGGTAAATATAGTTCAGTATTTAAGCACTCTTTTTAAGCACTGTGATTTGGACCCACTGACAATAGCAGTAAACATTTTTCTGATTCTGATGTACGTTTTATTTTGCAGGCGCTCGGGTCTTCCTCGCTGGATTTTAGCTGCGTGTCTCTTCCTGTCTATCATGGTGATGTTGTGGCTGAGCTGTGCCAGTTTGGTCACTGCACCAGAGCAGCACATCAAAACTCAGGTGAGACAAGGATTTTTTAGCCTCTTCTCACTCTCTTAAAGGGCCCACTTCACACTATTTTCTGATGTATGCATGTTACACTGCTGTTTCTTCATCATAAACATACCTGGAGTTGTGATTTGTTTCATTCACACATGCTTAACGCACAAACCCTGCCCAATCCCTATTTAAGTTGAGTTCCTCTCTCAAACAGATACAAAACTCTGGCTATGTTTTTGAGGAGATAACCACATTCTAACATGGATTAAAGCTTGCAGGAATCAGTTTTTTTTAATAAAGGTCCTTTAAATTATTGTGCTTTTTACAGGTGTTTTTTATAGCTTTGTAGCATAATTTCTTTTTGTGTTTTTCTGTGCAGCTGAGCATCAATGGCGATAAGGAGTTTCTGGACAATACCCAGAAAGTCAACCCTTTCCATCTGAGCCCAATGATTGCAGTTACTATGAAACAATCAGAGGAGAGTCAGGAGGCCGGCCCCCTGCCAGTCAAAGTGGATCTCAACAAAACTTGTGTTTAGATGACATTATTATTTATCTGAGTAAGATTTTTGAAAAGGGATGGCATCAATTTGTCTTTTTGCTGCCTCTGTGATATGGGGTCTCCGCTGCCATTGGGGATTTTACTCACTACATTTCATTCTTCTGTCATTTTCTTGTACAGTCATGATTATTTAACTTATAAATAACTCTGAATTTATGTCTCTCAAACACCAGAGACAAGCAGAAAATGTAATTCACAGCTGTGCATTTTACTATCATCTTTCGTACGCTGTGTAAACAATGTCAGACAAATGAATAACTACGCTACAATTAATTAATAGCCTTAGGAGAAAGTAAAAGGTGGGTGGTAGAAAAGATAAATTACAGGTAAAGTGAGAGAAATACCTTTGAGAGCACTCTTAGGAGCTTTATGGTCTGTTTACATAATCAGCTTTGTGAGCACTTTTGAATATCTTCTAATATCAAGTCTCTTAAGGATAGTTATAAGTCCCTCTCAGCTCTTCCACTCTGGAGTAAACCATTGGCCCTTGGTGTGGACACATTTTCATATTGATTTTGGATTACACCTGATGCCCTCCCAATGCACCTATCTTGTCTTGGGACTGGCACAGAGAGTACACTGGAATTTCCTAATTTTGTTAAAAGGCATCTTGTTATTACATTTTTTTTTTTTTTTTTGATATAGCACAAATAGCTGAAAGTCTTTGAATGATCCATTTGCTCAAACACGTATTTATTTTCTACTGTATTTATTGAGAACCACAGAGTTAGTGTTATCAAAGTGCCATGTACAGTTCCATCATCAGACAACTGCATTAAATCAGTATGTACAGTGTGGACATGGAAGATTGCACCTGTTACTGTTATAATGGGTATTCTCTTATATCATAAAAATGCTATTATATCACTTATACCAGAGTTCTTAGTTGTTCAATGTGCTTTCTGATAGCTTTTGTATGTCCTAGGGCACATACTGAAGGATAACGGTAACAACATTGAACTGCCATAACATTGGGACCACTGAACCATAGAGTTAAACACAAATCTTTAACAATGTGGCAAGCATTAGGAATTGAAAATGATTGACAATGGGCACAATTTGGTGACTAGACTGCCAAGCATCTCCAAAACAATGTGGGGTGTTCCTGGTATGTAGTGGTCAGTATCTATCAGCAGTCCAATATATGGTGGGGAACAGAATATCAGTGGTCACAATGTTATGGTATTGGTTAGTGTACACTGTATGTATTGCAAAGCTTTTGACATAGACTTTTTTATGGGGCAGAGTTACACAGTCTTATTATAGACAGATTTCTTTCAGTGCTTTCAGTGTCCTGTATAATGCTCTCTTTTAACCTGGCTGTGTAGACAATAATAAACCGTGCATGCGAGTGATGCTTTGGTAGTTAAACATATAGCCCCATGCCAGTACAACTCGACTCTGCTGTAGACTTGTGACTCTTTTGTGTTACTATTAACTGTAGCCATTGAATAGAATGTGTAATATTGAATGAATATGATTAACAAAAGGGAGATTCGGTTATACTCAATGTCTACTCCGGATGGAAAAATGTAGAAGGATTTGATCTAAAAATCTGTATGCTTTCTTTTTACTAGTCTGTTCCTTTTCGACAAGACAATGCTTACAGTATCACCAATAAAGTGTTTTCATTGTAAATAAAGGAACAACTCCAACTTTGTTATAACTGTGTTTAATTAGTATGGATATCACAATGACTGTGATAGTATTATGTATTCATTCAGTCACTCCTAATTTACACTATCTCCCTCGTGTTTTTTACAGTGTGAGGTGTAAAGCAGTTGAACTCAAATTTAATTAAAACTTTTTTTACTGAGTTGGCTGAAAACAAATGAACAAAAAAAAAGGTATTTTTTAATCTTGTTTGGGCATAGTTGCCCCATTCGCTGCGAGGGTGTGTAATGATGGCTAATGCCCACTTGGTGGCCCTAGAGTAACTTCTATTGGATAATGCTGACAGACCACTCTCACATCTGCTGTTAATGCAAGTTTAGCCTGAAATTTTTCCCCATCCTCATGTTGTTTTCTTAATTGACAGACAGGATGCATTTGAAGGAGGCTGTCTGTGAAATGACAGATAAAAGACAATTAGGTTTTATAATAAACCCAAACTTCTTGTCATCGCCGAGAAAGAGCGGGGTAGAAGATGAGGTCTGGTCCAGTTTCATTTGACAAACTCAAAAAGTCAGACCTACCCTGCAGTGAAGTGTCTAATCAACATTCGAACATTATACATACAAACAGTACATAGCCTACATGAATGATGAATGTGAGAGATCCCTCACTGACTGTGAAAAACAGGGTATGCTACTCTTAAATCACATGTCTGAAACAGTAAGTCAAGTAAACTCTGAGTAAAGGGCCTCTGACATAATGACAAGAAAGAGACAATGGCATTCTGATTATAAAGCTTGATTTAAGGTATTTTATACCAGGTGCCACTGGTGCTGCAACGAGATTATAGACTTTATCATAACTGGCCAAAACAATGGAACAGTCCAGACACCCGTGTAAATAAAGTGTAAAATTTAAATTTGTGAATTCTAGACATTAACAAGCCAGGGTTCTTGCAGTATCCAGGTGCATTGGCGGTCCTTTTTATTAACCCAAAGGGGGCGCTATGGATTCAGTCTGAAACGCTGGTGGCCCCATTATTACAATTTAATGGTTTATGTGAGTGAGGAGGCAATGTTCCCCTCTCTCTGCCTCCCTCCCCTCTGAAAGCGTGTGCTGCTCTTATCTAGCCAGACCTGCTGCAGGAGCCAACCTGCAGTGCATTAAACAAGCCACCACCTCAGACGCACGCGCACGCACGTAAATGCACGCAGAGAGGAGCGTGTGTGACTGTGGAAATGAACAAAATAATGAGAGAGGAGAGGGGCCGAAGTAAAGGAGGAGTAGAGTTCATCAGGGAATTGATTGGACAGTCTATTGCACTACTGTACATTTGTGAATAATTTATCTCAGCTACACTGCTAGAAATTACATAAATGCATCATGCTCAATTAGCGTACCGCTCTGATAGACATTGCATCAGAAAGCTAAATCAATTTAAGAAAAAATCAAATTTATTCTAACTTAGAAGTGACACAAAAGTTTGCCAGTGACACGCAGGGAGGATCTGGGCATGTCTGTCAGAGCTTTACAAAGTTTTAAGTCCTTAAATCAATTTGACATCAGAACATTTAAAAATGGTGTCAGTAGTTCACCATCACACGTTTTCAGGAAAAGGTAAATAATAAATACACATACAAACATGGTCCATAGATTATGGACCACAAAACAGTTTAAGAAAAGCTGAACATTTCAACTTGCGCAAACGCTGCGTAATAACGCACAATCAGAACTGAGGAACGCAAACATGAGTACGAGGGGAAACGGGTTTGAATAACTTACTCACAAACACTTTTTACTGTATCTTTATTTTCAGTGTATAGTTTTCGGTGAACTGGGGATGTATATGTTAGTCTAGACTAAATATGTGCGCTTTTAGCGGAATGTCTAATTTATGATGGGGACAGTGTCATGGTCAAACCTCTTTGGGCATCAACGGAGCTTTAGCCAGACATAAACTCATTGCAACACATAAAAGTGAAAACACAAACATATTAGGCTAATCCATAGACCAGAAAGCTGTAGCAACTTTATTTCTCGACATCTGTCGTGAACATCGTTACGCATAGACAAGATGGCAATTCAGAAACGTCAAATCAAGATTCCGGGCACATCGTTGTCTCTGAGTGGCCGTAACCGCCACGCACGTACACATGGAGAGACAGACATGTACATACTGCACGGATGCTACCAGGACTATTAAACTCCAAGCTGCTCGACACGCCACTCTCCCCAAACTAAGCGCGCAGGCATGAGCAGGCGGTTTCAAGCTGCCCTCTCTGTGAATTGATTCTACTATGAGCCTACACGAACCTGTGCTCTGAGAGGCGGGGGTGAGCAGTGCAAAACAACCGGTCCAGACCGGTCCAGAAAGCGAACAGAACACGAGAAAACTGTGAGAGTCTGCAGATCCCAAACAACACTGTGTGTGTCTGAAACGAGAGTATCAGCGAGAATAAGATCTGAGGACCTTGGGCCCTCTACTTTTGGTTCACCCCCGAGGAGCAAAATGGAACATTCCACAATTTATTCCAGGGAAAGACTGACAGTTTTTTGGGTCATGAAGCAGCTCTTCAAGTCAGCAGCCACTACCCCCTCCGCTGGAATAAGAAATTAGTCCATTTTAAAGTAAATAACTAAAGCCTCTGGCTGATAAGACAGAATTATAGAATGGTCTGCAGGCTCAATTTGACAGAGCGAGAAAGCCTCAAAACAGTTAAATCATATAAATATGACCCCTCCCAACACCTCAACTCCATCACAATATTAAATACACTGGTCTTATCAACAGGAGAAGATGGGACTAGGGCTTTAGCAACATATAGTGCCTACATGCATTAATGATACTGTTGGGCTCCTCTTTAGTCATGTACACAGTTTGTTCACAATATAATTAATTTTGTTAATTTTGAGCTAATTGAAGGCCATCAAGGTGAAACACTTTCTATCAGCAATTGATATTCATTTGTGTTTGTGTAGCCTAATATTAATAACATCTTTATTACTGTTCATGTTTATTCAGTCAAAGATGGTGGCACCAGTTACATGACAGTTTAATATCTGAGAGTTGTACAAATATCTTGCTCTTTTGCACATTACACCTCTAATATTACATTAACACATTTATTGAGTGGAGTCTTTGTTTGCCTTAGTTAAGTCCCTTATCTTTTGACCTTTTCACAGCAGGTATTTCTCTGCAAAATTTAGTCTTCCTGCTTTAAACAAATAGGCTACAATCCAACACTTTGAATAACTTTAACACACCACACAGGTTTTAGTAAGTGTGAGTTTAGAGCACTGTGCCAGCGTACATCCAAGTATATGAGCCATACATGCTGGAGAGATATATGCAGCTCTGATTGCCATCTGGTGTGGCTAAGTTATGCTTCATAAATTTTAGTGTGGGAAAGAATAATTTAGTAAGTGTGTAGTTCGTT